CGGCCTTCCAGACACTACCGTAGGCTGCCAGCTTCTCTGCCTCAAGTTGAATCTGCTCCTTCGTCTGATAGAACTCTTCCTTTGCGACTAGATTGTCGGGGTCATCGGGAGTTTGACGGAGTCGCTGAAGTACAAGCTCGGCCTCGTCAAACTTCCCCTTCGAAATCAACCAGCGAGGGGAGCGTGGCAGCCAAGGTGAACCGATTAGTAGTACCAACGCGGGCAGACACTGCAGAGCCAAGGGGAATCTCCAGCCGAAGGCAGGAATGGTGCTCTCCGCGTAGTAGCACGCGAACCCGACCCATCCAGCGAGCATGTATCCAAAGACAAGGAAGATGGCATGGTGACCAACTAGCCAGCCGCGACGCTGGGCGCTCGACATTTCCGAGAGGTACATGGGGCAAACAGTGACCAGAATACCGATTCCAAGACCGCAGATAAAACGGCCTGCTTGGAACATCCTTTGAGATGTTAGTAATTGACTGATAGCATTGAAACGAGGCGTTTTTCATACTCAAGTGAATTGGCACCACCCTGCAGTGCACCTCCGAACATCGCGAAGAAAGCTCCGAATTGAATGTTCGCTTTGCGACCGAAGTATTCACAGGACCACATAATGAATAATGTACCGACGGCACCACCAGCGCTGAATACACCATTTGCAGTTGAGATGACAGGCGTGGTGATCGTGTCATATCCAGGCATGCCTTCCGCAGGAAGGTTGAAATAGGTATACCATCCTGGCTGACCGATCGTACTGGAGATGATTGAAGCACAATAACCGTAGGTCTAAAATTGAATGTGTTATTAAATTGGTAGCTGGTGTATATGACAGCGAAAATTACTCACCATAGACCCAATGGCAACAAAGATAGTCACCAGCCTGTTGTAGGTACTGGTCTGTGACCCAAATCGTGCCATGATGAAGCGGCCCGAAGTCTGGCCCAAAGGAAAGAATGATGATTAGACAGTCAGAGAGGATGATGCGAGCATAGGTCCAGGATTGGGCAGGCCTAAGTTTGCGAAAAAGAAGCGAGCAAAACACACTGCTCCCTCATTGCGACCAGCAAGGGGGGCAACAGACAGAGAAGTTACTCGCTGACAGCTTGGTGGAGCTGACCCACTGGCATGTGGATGCAATTGTTTTAATAAAGTTCGACCGTGAGCAGAAACAACTCACTTGCCGATCGTTCACAACAGCGGCTAAGGCTGTCACACGCGTGGGCCCATTGTACAAGGCGTATTAATGGTGAGAACGAGTGCTCAAACCTACGCAGATGGGCCATCCAGGGATGATGCAGATCAAAGTCCCGGCAGAATCTCAATAAACTATATTATTGGCAAGTCACGTTCATGAGCGGGGTCAAACTGCAGTGCAGAGTCGAGATGGTTCGAGTTCGGCAAAAAGGATAAGAAAAAAAAAGCAATTTGTAGCGCACGACTTACGTCCGATTGATTTGGCCGTGCTCTCTGGAGGGTCTGGGATGGCAGCATGCACCGAATGTACCCACGAGGGGTAAATGACTCCACCCTGAACTACTCTCGAAACTTTCAGAAGATTGACTCGGTTCTCTTCCGAAAGAGAATACCACTATTTAGCCTGCTTCTAATATACTGCACTCTAATCATATCCCTTCTTGACACGATCAGGCCAAATACGAGGAATAGCAAAACAGAGCCATGTCTCAGTCTCCGTTTGATATCCCCTTCGATGAGCTTCCCAACCCTAAGCAGGTTTGGGCGGGGAAGCCTGGCAGCTACGAGGAGGGGTTGGGTAAACTGGCTATTCTGACCCCTGAAGTGGTAGCTAAGGCGGCTGTGAATGAAATCAAGACTGGTCGTCGCGTTACTATGGGGTGGGAGTTGACCAAACTGGACTATCCGAATCTCAACCGCCAGTCATGTCAGCATCAAATTGTTCCTCTCCTCGGAGGTGTTGCATTTGATGATATTTATACTATGAATCCCCGTAAGTTACGACATTGAGCAAGGTCTGGAATGTTGCTCGCGTCGCCTGCATGGAAGTTGACCTGCCACATAGAACAAAGTAGCCAGTGGGATGGACTGCGCCACTTTTCCCAAACAGTTCCTGGTCAATCAGAACGCGTATTCTACGGCGGAACGACCGTGGATGAAATCAATGATCGCGAAAATGATCGTATTGGACTTCAGCATTGGGCGCGGGAAGGAATTGCCGGTCAGTCTTGATATTTCCTTTTTTTTGCCTGTCTCAATCCTTCGGACTACTCCCCGAGCCCCTGGGACTAACGGTTCTCGCGTGATAGGACGTGGAGTATTGATCGACTATGCCACATGGGCTGAGAAAAAGGGGATTGAATATTCCACTTTTTCGACGCACCAGGTGCGCTTGTCAGACATTCTGCAGATCGCCAAGGAGAACAATATCACCTTCCAAAAGGGTGATACCCTTTTCGTTCGGGTTGGAGTTACGAAGGAATGGGACACCGTAATGACGGATGCCCAAAAGAAGGCCTATTCGGACAATGCCAGTCCTGAGCACGCTGGCGTGGAAGCGACAACTGATGTGCTCCGCTGGCTGTGGAACAGCGGATTCGCCGCGATTGCCAGTGATGCCATCAGTTGGGAGGTAAGACGACACATCCCTTGCCATTTTTCAGCGACCTGAAGAGTCGGATATCATGCTGCAAGAGGATAATTCTTTAACACACGTCATAGGTTTACCCGCCTCAATCCCCTGATGTCTTCTTGCATGAGTATGTACTCGCAGGATGGGGCATGCCGATCGGTAAGCATGGATGCGACATTTACCCCGAGGAAGGGAGAATGTACTAAAGCAAAAGCAGGCGAGCTCTTCGATCTAGAAGCATTAGCGCGAACATGTGAGGAGCTACAGCGATGGAGCTTCTTTGTGACTTCCGTGCCGTTAAATATGCCCGGTGGCGTATCCTCTCCTCCCAACATGATGGCCATCTTCTAGACATTGTATACGAAGTATGGCCCTATGTACTTCCTACAAAGAGTGTAAATAGTTGGCATCGGTGGCTTTCTCTTTCACCGAAAGCGGGACCATCAATAAAACTCAATGCAAGTACCGAAAAATTAATCGCTCTCAAAGTTTCACGTCAATAAGTTAATAAAGTTAGTTCCAATCATCTTTCTACAACGATTGGATTGACTTTTACGTTCCTTGAATTCGCCGGCAAGAAAGCGACAACTGGAAATCCAATAAACGAATGGATACTATCGCCACTTTTGAAGATCAGTACGGAGAACGGAACGAATTGAGAGTTTGTCTTGAAACGAGAACGAGCCACGCCCCTGTCAACTCGGTACTCGGTACTCGGTATGTACATAGATACGACTATAGGATCCAGTACTCCGTAGGGAGTTCCTCCTGGTTTTCGCCTCCAATATCCTACCTGGACCAAGGTCCACATCCGCCAAAGGACCCATTCCCCAGGCTGGCGGGCCGACAGATCAGATCAATTCATGTTTTAAGAAAAATCAGAAAAATCAGAACAGCGGACGAAGCAGCCGTCCCAGGAAATGACCAGCGTTGAACAAAAAGTGGCATCCATATGATGCCGATGTTCCGACCAACGCCTTTCTGCAGTTCTCATCCTCTGCAGGGATCGTCTTCGAAGGATTATCGGGTTTAAGTCCCTGAGGGATTCCAGTCACCAGCGCGAGGTGTGTGGATCCCATCTCGTATTTTTGACTTCTCCATCGTCATTCCCAATTTGCTAGCTCTTTACTAAGAGTTTCCACCGCACTCCTCAGTTCTGGCCGCCTCGATCCACCCCCAAGCCTATCTAATCCGTTAGCTTGCATATTTTCAGCAGCAAGAACCCCTGCCCCGGGCAACTGACTGGTGGAGATCCTAACGTTGGGCTCCACTTTCCGCCTCTTCCCGTGTTATAGCGTGGCTCCACCAAAAGCATCGAAATCCTTCGCGTCGCGACCAAATTCCAGACTCAGAAGTGCGTAATTGTCGTACTAATTACATACAAGGCTTCGATGTCCAAGTAATGTATCGAGGTGTTTCCAAAACTACCGGCAATACTGAGTACTTGCCAGTGGGCAGCAACTTCAACTTCAAGTTGAACTTACGTAGTACTATACATATACCTAGGTGGTATTAGTTAGTGGTAGCCTGAATCGGTTGCTCGGTGTACGTCCAAATCCCAGTAGACCAATCTTCTTATAAGCCTTGAAATGTACCTAGTAGTAGTAAGAGGGCTTTGGAATGTTACAAAATGGTTTTCGACCTCGTCCTAAAATCCCTGTCTAATCGCCCTATTGAGCTTCCGAAGTCAAATATTCAAATAATAGAAAGAAAAGTATGGTAGAGCCCACGTTAATGGCCTTGGAAAGCATACTATCGCCTGCGTTTTGTTGGGTGGAATCAATCGCTAGTTCTAGTATGCTCATTGATAGACTTTACAAAATGTATATTCAAAAGCCTACCAAGCTTAAGCCTTCTCCATCAGTACCTAGTCACATACCATGTCCGGTGGAAACAGGTTTCAATACCTAGGTAGTCCTTATAGGTAATTTTGGGATATTGCAATTATTTGAACCTACTAGCTAGTACCCCAATACCTAGGTAGGCACTCCATATTCCACACAGTGCACTAAAATGGAAGAGTAAAAGATGCTCGTGCCTCCCCACTTCCGCTTACTTCTTCTCCATGCGCACATGCCCATCTTGTCTATAGTGGGTATCTGCCAATTTCCCTCGTGGGGCACGTTCTTGCAGAGAGTGTTTCGAAAAAAAAAGCCGATCGGACCTTTACAGTCCACCGGTTCGCCGTCAGTTCGAAGTGGATACTATCAATACAGGAATTGTGAACTCAATTGTCGTAAGATGCTTGCTGTGCGAGTCCTGAGCAGGGGTCTGCAATGCCAAGTACTGTTTGGAGTATAATATCTAGAGAGCACCCCGAAACAGCCAGACTCGAGTCCTGTGACTTCGGCCCTGTGAGTATACTTATGGTGTTGATATGATGCCGTCTATAATGGCATTGTTGCCTCGCGATCCTGGTGATGTCGATATCGATCGCAGTGTGCAGAAGTGGAATTATGCCTGCCAGTCACTATGTATCATTACCATGACCCTTTTCTTTGGTCTTCGAGTTTATACTCGTCAGTTCATTCTGAATGGATTTGGAAAGGAGGACTGTGAGTTTGTTCCCTTCACCGTACCCTAAATATTAAGAGCTAACATGAGCCAAAGGGGCCTGTATGGCGGCATGGGTATGAAAAAGAAAAAGTGTGTTCTCGTTACAGGACGTCGACTAATTTTTGCCAAAGTTCCTGGGTGTCTGCTACTCGATAATTGCCCTCCTCAGTAAGTGGTATTTTATGAATTTACATGAGTCTTTTCACTGACATTCTTAAAGTGGGCCACTATGGAGGAGGCCTTCATCTTGCCGACGTACCAGATGAAAACCTCATTCCTTTTTCAAAAGTAAGCCAGGCAAACTTCAAAAAATGCTACGGTAACTAACTTCACAGACCGTCTACGTGACACTCGTCATGTACGGACCGACAGCATACATCACCAAATTCTGCCTTCTTTGGATCATGACCCGCGTATTCAATCCCTTCCGCAAAGCCGTCATTTTCATCTACGCCTTCATGGGAATCATGCTCGCGTACTACATCCCAGCCGTCATTGTCAAAATCAGACTTTGCAACCCGATATCGAAATTTTGGGATGATAGTATCGAGGGAAGCTGTATGAACGAGAACGCTATCATCATGGCCGACGCCGTCATCAGCGTTACTAGTGATCTGATTGTTCTGCTGCTGCCACTACCCTTGACTTTGAGTCTGCAAATGTCTAACAAGAAGAAGATGAGAGTAATTGCTATCCTCGGAGCTGGTGGATTGGCCGTTGCATCTAGTATCATTCGCTTGATCCTAATTGCTATTACCGCTAAATCGAAAGATACCACATTGGCCTTTATGAGGGTCAATATGCTAGGGTATGTCGAAAGTTCTCCAAGCCCATCCGAATCCCTCTCAAATGATGCATATTTGAAAATCCACCGACTGACTCGTCCATTTTCTACAGCAATGCTGAAATCTCCATCGGGGTGATTTGCACCTGTCTACCTGCCCTTTCCGCCCTCTTGAAAAAGGTCCTCCGCGAATACTCGAGCAATAAAGCAACAACAAGCCCCTCCGATTATAAAATGGACACACTACGAAACCAAAGCAAGACACAACGAAGCACAAAGCAAATGAGTGTTCTTGAGAGGGAGTCTGATGAGGATGTGCTCATGTACAATGCACAAGGCAATCCAAGGATTGAGACCACGGTCAACGTGGACAACGGAAAACATGACAGTTTACGAAGTACATCATTTGGTGGTATTGGGGTTACAAGGACAGTTGACGTGGACGTTTCTTCGGCTCATGAAAGCCGACATCATGATGTCTAAAACGACCAGCTTCAAGTTTTGGGATGTGATGCTTGTATGAGGGAAACCCCCACTTTTAATAATGCCAGGCGATAGATTGTCGAACAAGAATATATGGCTTCTTACAATAATAAGAGCAGGTGCGAATATCTATTGAAATAAACCTAGGCCTCGAGGCCTAGAAATCAAATTCATTCAACTGTGCAGGTTCATAATGTCATATCTAAAATTCAAGATCCAAGCATCACGTTTGGAGATGGAAAAAGAAAGGAAAGGGTATCAAAGCAATTCATAACTCAATCCATGCGTTTATACAGCTTCGCTTTACCAGATCCGGATCCGGCAGAGGGAGCGCAGCAAGCACTGACGGTCTCCGGGTGAAGAGTGGACTTGTTGAAGGTTTGAGCAGACTGAGGAACATCCAAAGCAGGATTCTTGGTGAAGAACCCATCAGGTTTCAGCATAACGCTGACACGCTCCATGGGCATAACAGGGAAGTCTTCAATGCGGGGGTTATGAGTGAGACCGAAGGCTAGATGAGTGTTAGTAATTGTTATTTCAGAGACGAAAGGATATTCGAAGAGAAGCTTACTGTGCCAGAGAACCACGTCCTCGTTCTCGGTGTTATCCTTGCGCTGGACCCAGGTCTCGACACCCTCGGCACGACGGCTTTGGTTTGTGAACTCGCCAGCGGCGTAGAGTTCGTCGTCTTGGTATTTAGTTACCCATATAGGCTTGGTAGCGAACTCGGCTCTGCGGTAGCCGAGGGCGTTTTTGTTCACAAGAAGCATCTGGCTCGGCGCAGTCTGCAGCTTGTAGGCCACTGGCTTATAGGTGATCGGGTTATTAATTGAATCATTGCGGATCTTGAACACGCGGTTCCGGTCGACGCTGGTGTTTGCTGTGCTGGCCTTGTTGATAACCGTAGACTCAGTAGTGTAACCGACAAGCCATGGATTAGTGTCGTCTTCAGGCATAGGCACACTATCTTCATAATAAACTGTGTTTTTGAAACCATCGATAGCAGGGTCAATGCGGAATGAGAACATGTGTTGATGGAAGGGAGCCATCACACCAGGGCCCACATTCGTGCCCCAGGGGACGGTCTGACCGTTCTCATTATCGAATGGAACAGTCGATAGAATCCCAGTGGCGCGGACTTCAAGTTCCACATTCCCTGCTTGGTCGAAGATGTATGCGAAAATGTATTCGTAATTGGCAACCGTGCAGATCATTTGGAGAACCAATTGACGGTTACGCACGACTGTGGCAGCACCGGTCCTATAGTTAGTGTGCTTGTGCTGGAGGCCATTGTCTTGTTCGTGCATACAGACCACGTTCTTTAATTGAACAGGGTTGCCCTTGCAGTCATTTCGGTAGCCATCAAAGTATTTGATGTGGCCCAGGCAATCGCATCCGAGAGATAACTGATTAGCATTCATGCCAAACCCTGTGTCGCCTACATCAAACGCTTGCTTTCGGTGGTATGGAGCACGGGGATCTTCGAAATATTAGCAAAAGAGGCATGATATATCGATAAAGTGATAACTTACCTCCATATGGCACAGTCATTTCCGAGACAGCGAGACGGTAAAAGACATTGCGGTTATCATATGTAATGTTATAGAGGACAAGGCCTTCTCGAATGTTGAAACCTAGACGAAAGCGCCACTTCTGCCAGTAGACCGAGTTTCCATCTGCTGTGTAGGAGGGACCCTCTGGCTGCTGAACGATGTACGGCTTCAGGTCTGTTCTGAGGGGTTCGTCCAAGAGGTCGTGTGTGTATTGGATAGCTTTGACAGGCTTCCAGGGCTGTGTTTGAGTAGTTTCAAAATCCGGCCCACCAGGGAGATAGTCCATGCGAACCAATTCGTGGGTGAGACCGTCAAACACCGGAGAGAACTTGCACGGCAGGGAGTAATGGTTATTCTGAGGGTGATCCACCTCAATCAGGTACATGAAGCATTGGAAGAGCCGCCTTGACTCGGTCTCGTTATCTGTTCCATACATCCACGGGTCATTGCAAACTGTGACACCGGCGGGCAATTGCAACTTCTCAATTTCGGCAAGGACGGCGGGGTGTCTCATGCAAAGTTCTTCAATCTCAGTAATTTCGTCGGGATCAATGGGGCCCTATAAAACAAGCCTGTTAGACAAAGGATCTTTGTTGCAAAGCAATACTCGAAGAAGGGTGATGATGCATACCTGAACCTCGCGGGGAAGCTCCTTGGCATACACAATGGTCCGCTTATCGGCGTTCAAGACAGCCTTATAGAATGCGCCGGTATCGAGGCGGTGGAAGAGGGTGTAGAGGAGACGGGCCGGCGGAGCAGGAAGAGGTCGTCGTAGGCGCTCGGCCTCAATGTATGGTAGCACATCTTTCTTAATAGGCTCGTTCACATCAATTCGCTTATAGCGCAATTCAACGCCGGGGAAGGTGGCCTCGAGAATGCGGACAGCGAGCTTGATTTCCTCTGGGGAAATAGGGTCGAAGGGATGGCGGGCTTGAGTCACCATCTTTGTGTATGAGATCAGCCCGGTCGAGGGACTGGGAGCAAGGAATTGGAGAGAAAGAGGAGAGGGAAGGACACAATGGAGAGAATCCGGGGAAGTGAAGAGGGGAAATCTGGAGAGGGGAAGGGCGACGGGGAATTTAAGGATGGGATCGCGTATCTTTTTCTTATCGGCAACAAATGGTTGTACTTTCCATTTACGGACTAGCGTGGTCCTCCAAAGGGCAGTGGATCGCGGGGGCTTGGCGCATGCTTTGATGCATGGAATGCGTTAATGTATGTGCTTTGTACTTTGTACTACAATAAATATGGTATGTACTAGCAGAGTTAATCATGATCATATGCGATTATCCTCGACAGTACCTTCTTTCCTAGGATTAACGCATGATGATGTTGCACACAGTCTGTATGTTCCTACAGCACATAAGGTAAGGAATCCTAAGGATTTTCTGCTTCCCATAGGGTGTCGTCCCTGACAGCCCGATAAGAGTCACGTGCTGGCGCAACTTTGTCCTGATCGGGTATGGCGGGTAGAACGCGGTTATCAATTCGCGGGGAACAGATCTTGATGCGACCTTCACTCCCCCATCCATCATGACAATGACAACCTACGCTGATACCGGTTGGCCGTGTTCTCCGGATATCTCCGGGACAAAGGCTGCAAAGAAGATCCGAAACCGTCAATCTGGTACTCCTTGGACTCGCTCAGGATGTATCACCTGCAAAAAGCGCCGCAAAGGTTGCGACAAGGCCAAGCCGAGGTAGGGGATTACTTTTCGCAAAATTAGATTGAATTAAAAAAAAAAGAATAAATGACTGATCTTTAGATAGCTGCAACAATTGCATCAAACAAGGTCGAACTTGCGAGGGTTATGGAGATCTCTGGGTGCAACCGTTGGGCCCGTCAGCGCAAGTCTTCAACCAACCAGACGAACAGAAACGACGACGACTGAGTGTTTCCACGCCGTCTCAGCTCTTGTCTCCGGCACCGTCGCCCTCTTCAGATTTGTGGCTGCACATACAGCCTTCACCTACCACAGATTCGCTTTCCCCCAGTCCATCTCAACTGTCCTCGCCACGAGGACGAATCATCGATTTGAACGAAGAGCCAGACCACACGGATCAGATTGATAAATACAAAACACCTTCATCATCGAGCCAGACTGACGCTCTGACGATGATCCCGCGGCAACACAGCTTTATCAGCCACCTTGGCGACAACGAGACGCATTACCTGCAATATCACGTCGAGTTTGGATCCCGGCTTCTCGCCAACCTCGAAAGTGACGATAACCCATTACGCTCTCTACTCATTCCTCGCGCAATATCATCGCCTCTCTTAATGAAGGCAGTATGTGCAGTCTCTGCTCTTCATCTTGCCAACCGGTCCGCAGGATTCAGCGCACAAACTGCCGCGGCAGGTTTCTACGGCCGAGCTCTCAGCGGTATCCGCACAGAGATCGCCGATAGCTCCACGAATGGTCTCTCTGACGATACCATGTTGGCAGTTGGCCTACTGTGCAAGTACGAAGTTGTCCGTGGAAGCGTGAAGCAATGGGTGGTTCACTTGAATGCTCTGCAGCGCTTAATCGCTTCCCGCGGCGGGTTGGTAGCCATGGACCGTGATGCTGCAGAATTTCTTCGAGGCCTGTAAGTCATAAGTTGACATCGGTGTCAAGGCCACCATTTAACTAACAAACCCATAGATATGTTTATGCCTATAATATGGCTCGAATCAGCAATCGTAAACGCATTACTCCTAGCGAGGACTTCGCCACACATACAGACCTAGGTCCTCCCCGATTGGACATATACATCGGGTACACTGAACAGATCTTGAATCTCTGCGCACGCATCGTCGAACTTCCCTCTCTACAAAACGACACTATTTCTCTTCGCCTCGCAATAGCCTCCATGTGCGTTTCGCTCTCACCAGGGAAAACAATTCCCAAGTGAAGAACTGCCTTAGCTGACTCCTATAGAAACGACTCCCTCCTCACATGGTCCCACACAAACACGCGCTATATAATACCCCAAGGCCTCACAAGCGAAGCTCTAAGCCGCCTTCAACTCGTCGCAGAATGTTTCCGCGACGCAGGATTCATATACCTCCACTCCATCCTGGAACGCATGCACAACAATCAACCCCAATCCCAACCACCATCAGCCGCTGATACCCCCTACCCCGGTGAAACCGAATTTACATCATTAATTTCCATACCGAAAGCTACTGCCGTTGATACATGCCTCTCACGAATCGAATCGCTCCACCTGGACAACCACTGCGAGTACTCGGCACTCACATTCCCGCTCTTTATCTCCGGCTGTGAGAGCTCGGTCTTTGCGCACAGAGATCTTGTCCTCGATTCCCTGACCAAATTGCAGAGTAATTTCGGCATTGGAAATACCCAGCGCGCCAAGGACGTACTAAAGATATTGTGGTCGAGAAGAGATGCCCATATTCGAAACCCGTCTGGCGCAAATGTGGGAAACGTGCATTGGTTTGATATTTTGGAGGAGCTTCAGTGGGATTTGACCCTTGCATGAATCACATTTGGCTGCTCTGCTCTCTTCCCCTCTTCTTCTCTTTGCACTTATCCTTTCCTTCTCTCCAAAAGTTTCTGGCACACACCACCCCCCTCACGAAATGATGTTTATGTGAATTGTACAGCATAGAATTGTAATATATAGAGCAACGAGCAATGTGACAACGTCCACATGATGAACTTCAATAGGGTATTTGAAAGCGTTCACGTAAAACCCATAACCCATCCAAACCGAAACCACCAACCCCGCCAAAAGCGACCAACAAGAGAGACAGAGACAGAGACAGCAATGACAAGAATAAAGCACCAACACCCGGAAGGACGATGGATGGTACGAACAAAAAAAAAACCTGAAGGCACATCTCAACTCAATCCCATATTCACCTCATCGCTCAATCCAAACTCCCGCTCCGCCCTCTCTGTCCCACCAGCAGCACGCATTCCCCACCGATCAAGCCGATCCTGCGAACTCGCAATTTCTTTTTCGCGAGTACTAGCGCTGGCGCTATCGCTTGTCATGACGCTTCCCTCACGACCGCTATACTGCGAGGCCTTGCGGGAATTAGTACTGATCGGGCGCGGGGGTGTCACACGTGCACTTCCATCCGAAACAGAACCGTCTCCCGAAGGCGTTGGATTCGGATTCGGATTCGGATTCGAGCTGGTAGATCGACCAACATCCGCAGAAGTGCTGCCGCCGCCGCCACCGCCACTGCTGGCGCGATCTTTCTCCTTACTCCCGCTGCTGAACCAGCGTCGGCGGCGAGACTTGAGAGGCGTGGAGTTGGAAAGGCCGGCGCTGGTGCTGCTGGGTTCCTGTTCGGAGTCTTTCTCTTTACTGGTGCCCTGTTCTTTTTCCTTTTCTAGGGCCTGGGTTAAGGCTGAGACGTTTTCTTCGGAAGGCTCGCTGTCTTCTTGGAGTTCGACAAGTTCGGCGTCGCGGTACCATTTTCTTCGGCGTGTATATCGGTCCCAGCCATCTTGGCCACGGCGTCCGTCGTTCCACTGAAACTGTTAGAAATTTTCGAGGTGTTTGTAAGCCGTATTTGATACATACCTTGTTATCATAGTAGATCCACCCCTCGACAGTAGACGTCTTGTCCTTGCCGTTCGTGGAGTTATCCGCACCCTCAATGCGCCACTCACTCCCCTCCACCCAGCGCCACTTCGAACCACCAGTTTGAACATCAGGAAGTTCAAACGAGTCCTTCGCTGGAACAGAATTCAAATGTTCATCAGTCCAGGCAGCCCGCTCAGCCGGGAACAACGAATAAGTCCACCCAATCCCAAGCCAGCGGCGCTGATTCTCGTACACGACAAAAGTAAATCGCACCCCGGAAGCATCTCCACGCCGCCGAGTTGCGATATTCAAACCCTGGCCCTGACCCTGGTCTTGGGCGGGCGTCTTCTGCGCGCTCGGCCCATCAGCCACCGAAAGACCAGTGATCATGCCGCAAAGTCGGCGGACACCCCTCGAACGCCAGAGAATAACGCGCGAGACTCGGGCCGGGCGCGAGTGGTATGTCAGAATTATAGTGCCGACGATCATGACGACACGGCGGGTGGTAATTATGTAAAGGGGAGGGAGAGTCAAGGCTATCCAGATAGGCGTCACCAAGAGGATACGAAGGAATAAGGCAGTCAGTGCAGGCCGAGTGGTCGCGGACGTAGCCGTGCGCTGCGTGGATAGAAAGTCGGTCAAATCGAGCAGCGGTTCGAGGAGGATATTACACCTTGTTGTGAAAATGCGGAGTGTCTCAACGATATCGTCCAGACTTTTCTGATGGCGGGTCGTTGTGTCCGTCGACGTCTTGCCCGGGTGCTTTTCGCCTGTGGACGTTGTTGATGAGAGGGGTGAATAGCGCCGTCCGTACATGCCGAGTATTAAGCCGATGACGACGAGAATCGGGCCGGCCCAGAGGATGATGGCATCGCTGTACAATACCACTGTCCAGAAAGTGGCTACGAGGAGAAAGCTCTGCCATGGGTCCCCTGTTGACCATGATAAGAGGCCGGCGAATTTGTTGAGTGGTAGGAGGAATGGATGGGAGTAGGCGAGGGCCCTGGTGATGGGCGGCGGCGTAGCCACCAGCAGTGGTGATTTGCGATGCACGATGACGCTGGAGCGTTGCCGCGAGGTCAGGGCTGAGCCTGAGATGGTGGAAGGGGAGAAGGCGGCTATCGTTGGGGGTAGAGAATCAGACTGGCCATCCTGCATGGGCGTTGAGGGTGCCATGGAATCGATCCACGGAAGATCGTCTGGATAGCATTAGATGGAGGAGAAGTGGGCATGGGCAAGGGCAAAAGGAGAGGTACCTAAAGCTGCCATCCAATTACGGAGACGTCATGGGAGTCGTTGTCAGCTCATCTGGAGCGGGCGATCAAATGCTTTTAAGGGCCTGGTGAAAGGCCTGGGGGTTCGTCGGCTTTCAAGTGATCTGCGGGGGGGAGTTGGGGAGGACATGTGACTGTGCTAGGCCGAGACACATGGAGGAGAGATGACAGTATTTAGTGAATTGTATTAAATGATACTAGTCATGATCAGAATAGTTAGAATAATCAGATATAAAGTATTGTAAGTAGATAATTAATGAGATACTATATAATATCCTATATACTACTATGGTACCTAACTATAGTATAGTTACTCTTGTATACTGCTATGCCGACCCGCCGACGCTAAAACGCGCAGCCGAAATTTTCCCCTTCTTCCTTCTTCACCTCCTTGTGATCATCGCCCTTCCCCGTTCACGTCATGGTGAGTACTTTCTTCCAAATAGAATTATCATACTATCTCCTTTCATTCATTATAATTATAACTAACAATTCTCCTCTCCCAGGCGCACCGCATTGTCTCCCAAGTCATCATCACCGGAGCCCGGGTCTTCGGCCGCGCCTTCGGTGAAGCCTACAAGCAGGCCCAAGCCACCGGCAAACACAACGCCGGCAAGAAGGGAGGTTCTGCCTTCAGCGGTGGCTCCGGAATCACCCTCGATGAGTCCTACAAGATCCTCAATGTCAAGCCCCCCCGGTGGCGGTGCCGAACCCAACGTCGAGCATGTTATGGATCGATTCAAGAAGCTGTTCGACCTGAACGATCCCCAGAAGGGTGGCAGTTTCTACCTCCAGAGCAAGATTCTGCGTGCGCGTGAACGGATAGAGATGGAAGTCCGTCAGACCCAGCGAAAGGCTGCGCAGGATAAGGAATTGAGTGAGGGTTGGAACCCCAAGGTCTACAAGGACCGGTGAAGCAGTGCGCCCAGGACATCTGCTTTTCCGTGATCCCATCATCACTTCCTGCGCTTGTCGTCGCATCTTCTATCGCGTTTGATTCATTCCGACATGTGGTTAGGATTCCGGTTTTCTTTTCACCTGGGGATCCTCGTCCACCTTTCCCTTCCGCTCGTCCACCCGCCCACTTCGGTCGCCTCTCGCGACAAAAGCACGGAACCGCTCGTCTTTTGATTTGGCATAGCATGGCGTTTATTGGGGGGTTCTCGTGAGGGAGAAGCCCTCTATTTGTTTCTCTCCTTCCTGTCTTAGAGAGAGGGATCAACATCGACATCAACTCATGGCGATGGTTTGATCTCTCCAGCCTCTCGGGGCCTTGTGTATATCATCCTGCTTATTACTGCAGCCCCTCCCCTTCTCCACTCTTGGGAAAACATATGTACTATAGCTGTAAACTGCACATGTTCTAATGCTGTTCTTGTCACCTCACCTATTTCTCCTGCATGTCCTGCATAACACATTTAAAGCAACAAAGTAACAAAAGTACATTATTTTGCCACCGCCACGAAACGACCAACTGTCCACCCTCCGAGCCGCTCTTCGGCCTTTGAATACCCCCGACTCACCCCAGGCACAGCAAACCAAAAGCAAACCAAAAGCAAACTAACGGGGAACTAACTTGAAAATGGAAAGACTTTTGCAACCTAGTAAACTAACCGCCATGGCGCCATCCGGAGCGAAGTGGGGGAAATCGTGGAATCTTTCCTGTCCCACTCCGGCCTCCGCATCGGGATAATTCGATCGAAATTATCTTCGTCCTTCCCCCCCGATCTGTCCTATATTCTAATTCCAAGTTTCTTTCGAGTCCTTATCTTCTTCATCTCCCTCTCCCTCTCAATTCACAATTCAATGCCAACTACAACCACAACAATGCGCCCCTCAACCCCCCTCTCAACAACCCTCCCCCCCCACTAATAATGGGCACAGCAACCTTCAACTCCCAATACAACGCAGACCCCTACGCCCTCCCAACAACAGAACTCGTCCACCGCGCCCTCTCCCACGGAATCCGCGCATTCGACACATCCCCCTACTACGGCCCAGCCGAAGACCTCCTCGGCGCAGCCCTCTCCTCTCCCAAAATCAGCACCTCCCACCCAAGAAACACATACCACCTCCTCACAAAAGTAGGCCGCGTTGCCTCCTCCTCCTTCGACTACTCCCCGCCCTGGCTGCGCGCCAGCGTCCGCCGCAGTCTCTCCAGACTCCATACAACCTACCTGAGACGTCGTCTACTGCCACGACGTCGAATTCGTCAGCCCCACCGAAGTCCTGAACCGCCGTTCGCGAACTGCGCCACATGCGCGATGAAGGACTCATACGCTATGTCGGTATCTCCGGATACCCGGTCGACACACTGTCCAGCCTGGCGGAAATGATCCTCCGCGAGACGGGCGAACCCCTCGATATCGTCATGAGCTACGCGAACTTCACGCTGCAGAATACGCGGCTCGCGACGACTGCGTTGCCGAGGCTTTTGGCTGCGGGCGTGGACGTTGTTCCTAATGCTTCGCCGTTGGGGATGGGGCTTTTGCGTAGGGATGGGGTGCCGATTGGGTCTATGGGGGATTTTCATCCTGCGCCTGATGCGTTGCGCGCTGCTGTGCGTGATGCGGCGAGTCTGGCGGATGTGCGTGGGGAGAAGTTGGAGGTTGTTGCTATTCGGTTTGCGCTTGAGTCTTGGCTGAGGGATGGGGCGGCGGTTGGTGGGCTTGGTGCGCCGGTTGCGAGGGGTGTGGATTCGGATCCCGGGTTTATTTCTGTTAAGAGTGTTGGTGCTGGGAGGAGGTTGGGGGTTAGTGTTATGGGGGTTAGTAATGTTGCCGAGTTGGATGAGACGTTGAGGGTTTGGAATAGTATTGTTGAGGGGCTTGAGAATTGTGAGGATGGGGATGGGGAGTTTGAGAGTAAGGGGGCTTCTACTCCAACGGCTTTGACTGAGGTGGTTGGTGGTGCTGCGCCGTCTGCTTCGAATATTCTCACGCCTTCTGAGGGTCTGATTACGGATCGGGCTTGGTCTCGTACGCGCCGCGCAAATATTTTGCAGCTGGCTGCTGAGATTCGTCAGGTTATTGGGGAGGAGTGGGTTGATTATGTGTGGGCGAGCCCTGATGCGGACTTCAAGAACTCTTTGTCTGAAGAGCATTTGGCTCTCGTTAAACGACTTGGGGTTGAAGGGGAGGTCGTCCACGCTTCTGCCGACGATACTACTCTCGATGAGGGAATGTTGACCCCGCCGTTGGATGTGGAGAGACAGCTTGAGTAAATAAGAGATGGCCGGCACGTAGTGTCGGTATATTAAGATTCGCTGCGCAGAAAATACAAGGACGAGCGCATGGTGGTGAATGTTGAAACGCCTCATCGATGCCCACGACGGTTTAAATGGCATCAACTTGAACAGTCAAAAAAGGTTTGCATGTACTGGATCTCTGAGAGAGAAAGGCAATGCCTCCGGATGCTGCATTAAATGAATGAAATGTTGAACGAACTGCAAGTAGAAAGTTGTCTGTTTTATGCCCTCAAAATTCAAGATAATCATTCCGTCGATAGAAGCAGTGTTTAATCATGACCACTAATGCCCTTAGGCAAATATGGGTCCTCGAGGTAAGTTTCCTCCTCAATTGTCAAGGTCCTAACTCCACAGTCTATAGCTTCATCGATTCTTTCCACCGAACTAAAGCCAACAATGGGGCCAGTCACACGACGGCTCACCCAAGCCAAGGCAACCTGGCTCATAGTCCAATCCTTCTTTTTAGCTATCTCTTCCACTCGGTTGATGATCTCTGCATCTATACTCGGAATATCGCTTGGGAGAGTCGTCTCTAGACGATCAGTTGCCCCGACTTGTTGTAGAGGTCGCGCCAGTCGACCAGCATCGAGTGGACTCCACTGTAAAAAACCGTGGTTAGCTCTTGATCCAAACCATGAGTGCTGTATAGGACTGAGACATACTGGAATCAAACCGACGCCTGTCTCGTTACAAAAACGGATCATCTCCCGCTCCTCCTCCCGATATGTGAGACTGTACTGGTTCTGCATAGAAATGAACTTGGTCCAGCCGTGTTTCTCAGCACAGAACTGCATCATCGCAAATTGATAGGTTCTCATCGAACTAGCTCCGATGTAGCGAATCTTTCCATTTCGAACAAGATCATGCAGTGCTTCCATGGTTTCTTCAATGGGGGTATTTGGGTCGAATCGGTGGATTTGGAAAAGGTCGATATAATCTACGCCAAGTCGTCGAAGTGAGGCATCCACTGAATTGAAAATGGCTTGACGAGAAAGGCCTGATCTGGTTGGTATGTGACATGTAAAGAGGCAATAGTAGAAGATACAAAGGGCTTACCAAATTGATTGACGTATTCCTTGTCTTCCCTCATTGTTTCAGCGAATGGGACAACGTATGTATTTTCATGCTCACTGACAGGTGCCCAGCACTTGGTAAGGATGAGAATTTTATGTCGAGGAATGTTGTAGTGTTTGATGGTCTTGCCGAATATTTCCTCTGATACACCGTTCGAGTAGTTGTTGGAGGTGTCCCACTGTTTCAAGTCAGTGCCAAGTTTCTCATCTCGAATTCACAATCTTACAGTATTAATTCCACGATCGTATGCTGCTTTCAACAGAGGAAGTGCCTCAGATTCCTCGAGAATCCAATTGCCGAATTCCGAGGACCCTACACTCATGCCACCAAGAACAGGGACCGAGACATAGAGGCCACTGCTTCCTAATCGTCTGTAGGAGGCATTTGTTTTGTTTCTGGATTCTCGTAGCATGGGGGGGGAGTTCAGCAGCCATTTTTCAGAGATGTATAGTATTCGAGAAATTAAATTTTCGATTCAGATAGATAGACAATGAAGTAATAGTTTCATACGATGAAGATGAATATATTTCTCTGGGATAGATCGGGTTTAAGTAGTTAATAAGTCTTATCGGCACCGTCGAGGAATCTCAAAGTCGTAAGGCATCATCTTGATTTCAAATCACATAGAAAGATATCTCTTTGTGATTCCCCTAGTTCGAGGTGATTCCTTTCTTTCCAGGGATGAATACGAGGTAGGTGTGAGTAATTCTCGGAGTGTCGGGCCGGTGAAGCCAACAAACATCAATCAAAACCCTTGGAATATGACCCCAAGGGCCTGATAGAGCCGTGAAAGAGCGTTTGTTTCCGTATATTTCCAGGATAATTAAGTGCATACTAGTAACATATTTGCCAATTTTTAAACCATCTTCATCCCCTGCACTCTACTACTCAAGAACACTAATACCTACTGTAATTTCTTGCAGTAGAGCCTCACCACCAGTCACGGACACGAGCCGCAGCCTGCTCGGGGCTGATATCACATTGAGCCTCAGCCATCAATTCATAACTGACCGGGAACTCGTGTACAGTCGCGCTTTGCAAAAAAGGCTGACTAGCAATGCAGGCACATATACGAGGCTTACACTTCTTCATCGGTACCATCAAGAGGAGGTCGATGAACACCCGTAAGGTGGGAAAGTGAGTCTCGAAAAGGTCATTGTAAACCTTGGAAGGCGGGTAATCTTCGGGATGGCCTCAGCCAGGAGAGTCTTATCGAGTTCAGCTGAGTGACATGGACCAGAGCGCGCCAATTTGTGCGACTGACACCATACTAGTAGTCTCAAAAGAGTAATTTGCCCACCTGGACACCGTGTATACATATAAGCGAAGACAGGCTAATTTGTGATATAGAAGTAGAGGAGGGTCAGGAGAGCCCTTTATGTACAAAAACACAGAACAGCCGTTAGGACTATGAGATGCCCGATCCTCGGGCCCAAGATGTCCCTCCAGGGCTCTATCCGCCGTAGCGCGGTGCGGGTGGAGAGTCTGGAGAGTCACCCACGGGAGGTCTAAACGCGAATCTAGACTTGTCGTATTGCATCGAAGTTTCGTGGAAATCGCGCTCTTCACAGGGTCGCAGGCCCGCGTAACCGAGATCATCCCTCCGCATGTTCGTATTCGAGCAACCCCCGGGCGAGCCATGTTCATACTATCCTCCCATTGGACGGCTAACTGATCTCGAGGTGTCAGAGCTAGAACTAGCGGCGATGACTATCAAGATGAATGCCGAGGTGGACCATACCTAAGTATAAATTGATCATCTACTCCGCGAAGAGGTCTCATCGAGGTCATAAGCCTTGGAGAATCATAGAAAACCCTCACGACACAAATACCGTTCTAAAGTCATTTCAACTTATACCTAGGTAGTTGAAGGTTCAATATGATTCCCAAAACAGAAAAGGATATGGAGATAATTGCCAAGGCTCGAGGACTCCAAAGTATCTGCTCGGGAGAAGAATACGAGCGAATGATAAGTGGCTGCTTGTATGTTATTTTCTTCACCTGCCTCCGTTTAACGACTAACTATTGCCTCGCCTTCCGAGCGCAGATATACTCCCCTAGCACCAGAGCTCATAGAGGGTAGGTTGCGAGCAAGACAGCTCACTGGAGAATTTAATGCATCTCTTTGCGGAGATGTCAGTTCAAAAAAGACCGATCAACAGAGAGAATCCATCCTCAAGACACTCTTCGGTTGCACAGGACAAAGCATCTATATTGAACCACCTCTCTTTGTCGACTATGGATGTAACATTAGTATAGGGGAGAACTTTTATGCCAACTTCCAGTAGGTGCCACAACCCGACTGGAAACAAATTACTTAATACTCCGTCTCTTTAGTCTTACCATTCTTGACTGTGGATTGGTCACGATTGGGAACAATGTGGAAATCGGCCCGAATGTCAGTATCATCACTGGGGAGCACCATACCATGATCGCAGACCGAAGAGCAAACCGAGGATATGAATTTACACGGCCCGTTGTTGTTGAAGACGACTGCTGGATCGGTGCTGGTGTTATAATCTTAGCCGGTGTGACGATTGGCTCGGGCTGTTCGATCGGTGCCGGCTCTGTCGTGAAGGCAAATATTCCACCTTTTAGTATTGCGGTGGGGGTTCCTGCGCGGGTGATCCGTTCAACCCAACAGGGTTCAACTGTTGAATAGCTTGAGAAATTTTATTTCTATTCCGCTTTTTGGCATCCTTTCCGACCATCTTGCGAGATATGGCTTGTTGCACAATCGGAAGCCATGAGCTCGCGTGTGCCGTTGAGCCGATTATGGGCCACCAGCCAAATGTAAAAGATTCCTGCTGTGAGGGTTCTTGCGGGTTAGAGAAGCAGTTGGTCGGTATCTTCAAATCTTTCATCATATTTACGATGGAATGACTAGTTTATTTGGTATTCCCAAATCATGAACATGATCTGTTCACATTCCACACATTCCCGTACGGAGTGTACGCATAGTGATGCTGAAAGCAATGTATTCGGTGATATGGAAGAGAGGCAGAGGTGAACGACGACGAGGAAAGAAGATATGGATGACTGCCTAATCATCTCAAAGCGATCTAGACTCCTGCAGGATCCATTGAACGAAGGAAGTAAACGCCACGTCGAAACCCCAAACTGACTCGTATGATACATCAAACTTTACTGCACTGATGGACTATGGGACTCGGTAGGTACAAAGTCGGAAATCTCTTCTCGGGCTATTTTCAGTGCAGCGACAAATTTGTGTCTATCTTCTGGACGCGGCATTGGTATCTCCCACATACGTTCAGGGAGGTCGAAAACCAGGATTACGCCTCGGAAGTAACAGCACAGGTCTTGCTTGAACGCCAATGCCACCAACCCCCTGGTTAAAGGTGTCACAAATTTTTGTGTAAGATTTGGAAGGATAGAAAAAAATTCGACGCGTTTGCTCAATACCTTCCATGCACCGTGGCCTTTTGGTGAATTATATTCCTTTCCGAGGAGAGTGATGAGTGATTCGAAAATGGACATTGGTAGAGATTTCTGTGTCACGAGAATCTGAACCGCTTCGATATCAGGGTCCTCAAGGTGGAGGATAACTGTTTCCAAAACATCCAGTGGCAATTCCGGGCTTTTGAGAAAGCACTTAGATATTGGCTATGTGCTTTTCAATGCTCGGATCGCAGACTCTACCACGTTATCCCCTGGGTCGTGCAGAAGCGGTAGTAGAGCGTTAAGACATTCGCTCGGATATTCTGATCTGTGACTGAGAACAAAAGCTGCACTTGCTCTAATCTTGGGGTTCCTTTCCCCGGGTTGAGAGGTAAGAGTCTGGTAAATCCTCTCTGAGAGAGCTTGTTGAACCCCAATGCATTTTGCTGTCTTGATTCTGGCGATTGAATGCTCGTCTACTAAATGAAAAAGAAGACCTTGTACAGTGTGTTATGGGAGATCTTTGAACCGCTCAAAGAAAAAGACCACCTGGACAGTGACCGATACTAGCTCTGGTACAGGAACACATTTTAAGCGATAGAGAAGATCTTCTGTATGCTTTGAATGTCCGCTTAACTCCTCTGTTACTGTTTTGATCCAGAATGCAATCAACTTCATTAAAGCAATGCATCAGAAGTCTCAGGTGTGCTAGCCCGAGTAGGTCACGAGGCTCGGATTCTAATGCCCAAAAGAACCCAAGCAGCGCGTTGCGATCACTCCCGAGTTTTCGTGACATCGAAAGTAGCCCTGAAATGATTCTCCACATGACATTGTAAAGTCCGTTGTATTTCTCGTGTCCTAAAAACTCCTCGGGCTCCAAACTTTGGGTTTCCGTGCCCAAAGGGATAAGATCCAGGGGCGTTTCATCTATCCAGCACTGAACGAAATACGAAGCCGCGAAATATTCCTGGAATATAAGATGCATGAAGTAGTAGATCGCAGAGGAATCTGAGGTGCGCAGAAATGAGAGCCCATCGAGCATGCTGTCGTTCCAGCTCGGAAAATTTCGGTACAGTGCATCTCTATGCTCAGGCAGAAACTCCACGGCAATGTTGTACAGTCCGTTAAAAGCCAGAATTTCTAGTATCTCGAGTTCTTCTCCCATCACTATCTCTATTTCAGTGAAGGACCTCTTGGCTGTCTCTGGGGTTTCTCATTGGGGTCTCGACGAGGATCAAAGCACCAAATTCCAGCCAGTCTACACCCATTCCACAGAACAGCTCCTCAAGACAGGAGAGGTGGTTTCTGCAGATCTGGAAATTTGGCTTTTTGGCTGGACGTTTGATGCGGGTGATATTTTACGGCTTACTATATCTGGATTCATTGCTCACCCCCATCTTCGATCAAATGATCCCCGTCCCAAATACCGGAGCAAGGGCCACGAGCATAATGCAACTTCAAGTTTTTCGTATAAGACACGAATTTGTGATCCATTGGTCTTTTCTATCTCTCCTGGACCTCATATTCTGATTGTGAAGCGGGGCGTTACGCTATGGGTTTGGTTCTGCCTCTTCCACCTGAGATCTTTAAGCGCTTAATCATCACTGTCGGCATCGATTTGACAAGTAAGCAAGTCCTCGGATTTTACTTGCAATCCTTCTTCTACCTAGCGTCAAAGTAGAAGTGTTAGGAAGAAAATTGATTCCACGAATTCTCCGATTTCACTGCATGCCTCGTATCCTCTCCAAGAATGAGCATATAGCCCGTTCTTGATGAGAAGGAGGATGGGAAGGGGAGTAAATACCAGTCAGACAAGCAGATAATCTCAGATCACCACTTGACCAAGAGGTTTCATTGGATGACTAGATAAAAAATACCTTTGGAATAATGATAACAGTGAGTGTGTTGGATCAGTAGTCACAAAAGATCTGCCAATGCTCGAAATGAAGCGCGGTGCAGTGCAGTGCAGTGCATCAACACAAGTCGGACAGAACGCTGGGGAAATCATGGCCGTTTCGGGGACATTCGAACTCGAACTCGAACTGGCATACCTGGCAGAGGTGAGATCATTCAAGTCCAGATTTCATTCCGGCTTGTGGGTTAAGAATAAATGAATAACAGCAAGGGAAAGAAGAAGAACGAAGAAAGGCGCTGAAAATGCAAAAAATGGTGCTGCCAAGCTACCAACGTAAGTCAAGACCGACATTGACATCATCGTAGATGTATTTTATTTCCACGGAGCGTAACGGAGGGTATCTCTAACAATTAATCAAACGCAGAAGAAGTTGACCGATATCGCGCAGTCATAAGGACCTGAGAACGGGCGACGTTTAGGCGGCACGAATCGTGGGCGGCGGACCAGGAGGCAGAGGTGGAGGCGGTTGGGAACGTTGCGGAGGTGGGGAAGCAGGAGGTGGTGGTGGGTTGCGGTAGATGTCGAATCTACTGGAGGACTCATATACCTCGCGCAGTTGGAACCGTTGGATCATGTACTCTTCGTAGTTGGCGGCGATTATTGAGCCCAGAATACTGCCATTGGTGTCTTGGGCATTTGTCAACTCGAGCATACGCCGAGAGAGAATGGTGAAGGCCTGGGAGAATGTCCGGAACACCAACGCAATCTCCTTCGTTCCACCCGATATGTCATTGTCTGGGTTGTTCGGGTCCTCAATCGTGAGACGGTCCCGGCTGCCAAAGTTCTACGGCGGGTGTTAGGATGGTATGTTGTGCAATGGGTCGCGCATTAGGGTTCCACTTACCTTGTTAAAGAACATTGGCGGATTCATACGAATACCCACGTCTTCATACTGGAAGATATTACCGTAGTAATCGAAAAAGTTTAACAGGATCTTGCCCAGATTGAACTCTTCGCGTCGCGGCATATGCTGCAACAGACTCGCAACCAGACAAGTGATGGAGAAACCACCTAGGCCTCCGGTTGGTACCTCGTTGAGCCCTCGAATAAGCAAGAACTGCTTGATGACCGAAACAATCACCGGCATCGCTGGGTACTGTTCCTTCCACATTCTGAACGTTTCGTTCGCCCTAATGCCACTGTCATTATCAAAGGATAAATCAACGCGCAAGCCAGTAACCTTGTCCACGAATTTGATAATGGGCACACGAGCGTGCGCAATACTTTCGATGGAGCCGGGAACCGCGATCCCCGCGTTCTTAATGAAAGCACTGAATGCATAGATCTGGCCAGGTCTTTCGCCAAAGTTTCTCTTCCCCGTGCGAACGAAATCCCGAGACATAAGAACCAAATCAACATCGGCAATGGGAAGATATAGTCCCGAAGCAAACGAACCAAAAGCATGAAGTTCTACGCCGGCATACCTCTCCTTGAACACTGTCTCTAACCGCTGGATGAGATCTTGTCGCACAAGGTGTTCAAAATCATGGGGCTTGATCCAATTGTAAAAGCCAAGAACCTCCTGGTGTAGGCGGGTACCCATGTGCAGAGCACTCATTCCATCGGTCCAGGGTGTAGCCGACTGCGGAGACAAGGCCTTCCAGGCATACAGCACAGAGCCATCACTGTGGAACCTTGACATTGGCTTTCCGACCTTTGTAGAGAATCCCTTTGGTTCGTCATCACGGGTTCGTTTGCGTTGCAAAAGTGCTGATTCTTGACTCTGGACCTGGCTCTGGTTCGCCATGCTCTTGGGGCCTCTGGGGGCATTTGCCGGGGGACTTTCTCTTTTGTCCTCTCCCTCCTCCTCCTCTTCTCCTGGTCCACCCAGCGCGCCCAACGAGATGAAGTCATGGTTCTCGGCCACCGCGTCTTCCTGCTTTGGTGCTACGGCTGCCAGCCTAGCTTTGCGAATCAGCTTCACCACATCAAGCTTCTTCCCCGTGGTCTCATCGGGCGGCGGCAAGGCTGTGTATGGGTCGGGATTGGACCATTTTGGAGTTGGCGCTGGTGCTGGCTTAGGCTTTGAATCGCCATCCTTATCGTCAGAGGCGATGGCACGTCGTTTTCGCGGGCGCGATTCATCATCTGAAGAGTCCGAGAGGTCCATTTCCGCTTCTTCACTGTCACTTAGCGCGTCGAGAGACGCAAATTTGGGGGCCGCCTTCTCTTCGTCATTGGCTGTCAGAAGCTCTGGTGTTGTTTCTCGGTTCGGCGCTAGCAAAGGTCGCTCTGAGGTATGGGGGAAGCGAAAGGTAAATTCGCGTCTGGGACGCGACCGACGGTCTCGGTGGTCTCGGTGATCTCGGTGGTCTCGACCTCTTCCGGATGGTCCTCGGGGCGCATCGTTCCCTTGGAAAACGAAGGGCGCCATGTCGTTGAGAGGGATGGACTGGGCGTGTAACTTGACGAACTCGAAAGCAAACTTGGCGAAAGAAGATGCGATGCAAATTGAGGCCCGTCTCAGGCCAAGAAAAAAAAAGATGTGCGCCTTATCATGGAGGCGGTGTTAGATGGCAGAATGTGGGTCAATCGCCAACTTTCACACTTCACACACAATTTAGACTACTTGGTCTATTTAAACATCTTGTCTATCTCAGCCTGGCTAGGGCTCCTATGATACTCTTGCAAGCCTTTCTCTAGAAGTCCAACAAGGTCCTTCTGCACGGCAAGCTCGGTGAAGCTAACTCTCCCCGTTGCCCATTTGAGCCAACCCTCTACTCTGGCTCCCTCCCCTCTCAACAACCCCACACTCACGTCGATTATCGTTGGTCGCCCAGTATTGTGCCAGAAGACATTGGCTCCGCAACGATTGCAGAACTCCCGGTATACACCTGGGGAGCTCTCATACCGCTGCATTGTTCCACGATCAAAGGATAGTGGCGATCGGTCATCATTGAAGAGATTAGATCTGGGAATAAAGGCCCAGGTTTGAATCGGAAATCCGCTGCCGAGCCGACAGGAAGTGCAGGCACATGTCCCTGCCAGATACTTGGTATCTCCATCGGACAGCCACCATTTGACATCGTTGATGTTTTCTGAGGATTCGGAGTGATAGGGAACTAGCAAGTCAGGCCAGGGTGACCATGCCTGGGATGAAGATATGTCTGGTGAAGTGACGTAGAATCGAATGCCTCCGCAGTGGCATTGACCATGCAGTTCGTCCCGGTGTGGCGAAATGGTCAACGTATCCTGACTTGTGTTGTTGGTATTGACATTTTCGCGAGACAACTGTTCGAAACCGGCCTGTAAAGCACATCTCTCTCTCGATGGCCAACCTGGAAGGAATGTGCTTAGTCCACCATCGCCAGTATCCTCGGTCTGCCAGTGCTGGACACTCTTCACTGGAAGAGTGTCAGTTGCTACAACGACCCCCGAGGCAACTAGATATCTCCCACTCGATGCCAGCCGGGCAAAGATGTGAGCACCACAGTTTCTACAAAAGAAGCGGCTAACATGAGGAGATTCTGAGTAGATCTGTAGTCCGTCCAAGTTGACGGGTCCGTCCTGCATGAGATAATACGATGCACCCAGGAGGCCAGTAATGGCGCGACAATTGGTGCAATGACATAGTTGGAGCAGGGAATGGTCTGCGTCGGGATCCAGCTGGATGGACTGCTTAACGCCCCCACACAAACAAGTGACCGAGGTTGCCATGCGTGCTTTGTTTGCCTTTTACTTTGGAAATTGGAGAATCTGATTTGCTTTTTAGGGTAGATGATTGGCGGATCAATGTTGACTTTGGGTCGAGGCTCACTCAGCTTGCCGATATTCACAGGGTCGAGTGCTCGAGTGCGCAAGTGCAAGATGGAAATGTGCTCAGGCGGGGCGAGTGCAGAAATGTGCTCTCCTTGTAACTAAAAATTGCCAGTGCAGCGACTCGGAGAGTACATCAGTCACTGGCAAGTAAAGAGTAAAGTAGTACCGGGAAGTCACGGGCGGTCCGAGTATAAAAAGCTGGTCCCCCCAAAGTGGAATTTCCCCCACCTCATCCTCTCTGCCGCTTCGCTTCACGCTCAACTCTACGTTTCCCACCTTTTAAACCACCAATACCTCTCTATCTCAAAATGGGTACGTTGCCAAATCCTTTATATGACCCCTTCACTACACGCATGCCGCATCTACCGCTGCACTCTCCAATCTTTGCGTTTTGCACGAGACCCTGGCAAGGCGGGGTCATGGCGGGGTTACCTGCACTCGTGTTCCCCTCCTTTCAGTCATTGACAGACGCTGACCACCACCAGGTTCCGACCACGGCTGCAGCTGCGGTGCTTCCTGCCAGTGCCCTGCCGGCGCATGCCAGTGCCCCGTACGTGAAGTCCCATCATCTTGACCCCTTTATCACCGTCCGAAAAATGACGTGACGTGACCCGCTGGCTAACCCCCCCGCTTTTTCCCGACTCTCTAGAAGTAAACCACTCAACTTGATCACCACGTTGTGATGGGGAGCTGCTTGAACGGATCTTGTTCATTGTCGAATCGAAATGCGAATGGAGATAAGCGATGAGGAAGAGATCTCATCTACCAGGCTGGTAGTGATGTGATGTGAGATCGGGCACTGTGGAGTTCTACCGTCCTTTTTGTTTTCTTTTTTCATGCAAAACAGAGCAAAACAACCCCCAAAAAATGTCTAGTCAATCGTTGTAGTCGAAATATCATGACTCCGGGTTACTGAATCACTTTTATTCCTGTCTATCAAGTACCTTGTGGGCATCGACCCAATTTTCGGGCCCTTTAGACTTGTTGGAGGTGATGAGCTTAACTGCCCATCATACCCTGGACAGCAGCTATGCCACGACATCGATTTGATGTACTTGATGGGTAGATAACAGTCACCATATAGTGCTCAATGCTATGCAGCAGCAGCAGCCTGGCGTAATCTCTCCGAATCAGCATGCAACCCTTGCTACCCTTGCTACCCTCGACTGCTCAACACAACCAATCTCCCCTATAGTAAGTCTACACCTGGGTCTTTCTTTTCAAACATATTGATCCACCTCGCCCCATCCTTCTCGTCGTAATAACCGTATCCGGCAGTATTTCCACGCCGCCATTGCCAATTTCTATCGGCTTCCGCGGCTGATATTTTGCCGATGCGTCTTTTTTGCCTCGAGAACAGTCCCCGTAATTCCATGATGTCTCTGCAGAGACATACATTGGCCTGCACCAACCCAGGAAAAGAATAGCGGGTCATCTGCGAATGGCCTGGGTGCCTTGCAATACTCGTCTTGGGCCCAATAGGTATCGGACCGCGTGCATATCGGCGAGGGTCCGTGGGGACCAAAAGTATGATATGCTTCGGTAGCCTTGACTTGGGTCTGCAGGAGGAGACGAAACGATCCACTTTGGTTTCTCGGCGCTTCGGCCCTACTCGATTCCAGCAAGTTTGTGCCTGTGCTGGATGTGGACCGGTACGTACGTTGGGCCCGATCTTGGACCCGTGCGAGGGTAGCTACTGTAGGTCCCAGTCCCGGTGAGAGCGTAGGGAGCTTCTGAATCCACCATTTATCTGATCTCGCCTCTCAAAGAGGATAATATCCATGCCGCTTACAAAAGGCTGTTATGGCGTGGGGTTTTACGGTTTCTACCGTTCTGCCGATCCCTTTGGCCCGAGGTGTGAGTAGTATTCGCTTTTGATAACTCTACCAGCTGGCGGCAACCTCCCATGTAGTCGATATCCAAAGCGTCTCGCTTTGCTTTTTTAGTTCACAAAGAGCATCATGGAACAACGAAGACCGCAGCATTCCTACCACAGTGGGCTTGGATATGCAGCTTCATAATACAGAACTGCCAATAAGCCCTCGGGGCGCCCCTCCTCCAAGGTCCCCAATCCACGCAAACACCACCTCATAGGCTGCAGCGCCCAGATCCCGACCCTTCGCCGCTCCTGGCGCCGGAAAATTCATCTTGAGTAAACCCCACTGTATGACCACGTTGCCTCTGTCTTCTGAATATGGTGACTGTACGTATCAAGTAACGTGAGGCCCGTCCCGAAAACGATGTGGAGATCTAGTCGACCTGCGCCTATTAGGGTCGATCTTACATGGGATCTCCGAAATATGGCCATCATTATCGTGGTACGATGGTGGTCCAAAGTTTGTTTATGGAAGGCGAGTCTGGTATGGTGTCCTTCGTCACAGGTCCACATAGTTCAAACCGCCGAGTATACCGCGGAGCAACTCCATAATCGTAAGATAACTAAAATGGCAGCATAATGCTTGCTCAATATTGGCGTCATTATATGCGTAAATGGAGAGTGCTTCAAGTTGGAAGTGATATGTACTGCGAAGCTGTGTCAATTTCTAATGAAGTATAGGTAAGTTGTCCATGGCGAGCTAGCACCCCGGGGGACCCTAAACAACACACCCATAGAGCAACACAAAACGCCCAGAATACAAACAAAGAATCCTCATTCGTCGAAATGCTGAGAAAACAAGAGAAGCAGAAACGGAAACGGAAAACACATCGCCCCCAACAAGCTGCCATAACCTACCACAACAACCACACCTCGTCATCTGCATGAACCTAACCGACCCGAGTCAACACCAACACATCGATCTGCGGAAAGGGCCAGAAAGGGTACTCCAAAACACAAGAAAACATATCGGAGATAGCAGCAGGAAGTAGTATGTACAACGGCCACCACCGCCCATCATACAATACCACGTCTTCCCCACTTCGAACTGGCGAAAACCGGACAGGCAAACCAAACCATGCCCCGGTCATTGGCGGGAGCGTTAAGGCTTACCCGCTCTATCAAGGCGGGTAGCGCGTGAGTGGGCGTGGAAAAAAGAAAGTGGAGACCGTGAGGAGTAACAAGGCCATACAGCAGATGCATAGTTACTACCTACTCCGTACCTACTCCGTATTGCAAGAGCATTTGACTCGACCACGCGATGCGCTGGGGTTTGCCTCACGGATCACCCTCGCCCGTAGTTGGGGAGGAAACTCCTGTCGGCAACGAATGAAGAAATGAGAATTATTCTTTTCTTTTTTTGGACTCCGTACTCCGTACTGAGTCTTCCTTTTTTCTTTCCGGTATCGAATCGGAGGCAACTTACTCCGCAGTTGTCGTAGCCTAGCTTACCACTACTACCTAGCTGGGAGGCAGAGAGTACGGAGTATGTATGTACATCATAGCATGAATAGCTAAAGCGAGGCTCGAGAACACCCTGGGCATTTTGGTACTAAATCAAGTATAAAGCTAGCCTTTCCCCCCCCCAGTCAGTTTCGTTTTCTTCATCCAGTCAAACAAACATCCGACCATCTTCCAAACAAAGCATTCTTAAATCTTTTCACGGTTTTATCCCATTAACCAACCCATCCACCCAACATGTCTCCCTGCTCCTGCAACTGCTGCTCCGGCAACTGCAACTCTTGCTCCTGCTCCAGCTGCACTGTATGTTATCCCTTTCCTTTAAATGGATATTATTTGCTCCCTTTCCCCGGGGTAGACTTGGTTAAGGAGGAAGGTCTGATGATTCTACCAGCACTAAGCTAGCACACCCGGCGCCGCCACCGCCATCCTCCTCCAACTCGACAACCCATACCAGACCCGGCCTTCCCTTACTTTCAAACTAGTGGGAACGACTAGTTAGTATCTGCTACTGAACTACGAGTGGTCCTTTTTCCTGTGCAATACAATATTCGATCATGATTGGGTCTGGTTTTGATTTTTGGGGTCTTTGGGATGGGTTGCTTTGTTTTTAGTGTATGTTTAATGCTCTTCGGTCCTTGAGACTTGCAATATCATATTCGGGCTTTTTCCATTGTGCCAGTGTTCAAGTTCTGTTTCATCGTAAGCTACTCGCAATTCGGCCTCATCCGGGAATGTTTGATAGTGGAGAGGCTTCCAAGGTTCAAGTTAGAAATTCCAAGGTTTTAACCTTGAAAAGTGAACTCAAACCTTACCTTTGAAGATATTACGCTTGAGTAGTTTGCATTTGTGCATTTACTGCGGTGGTGAGGTTGTTCTCTGGAAATGTAACACGCTGGTATGTATTCAAGTTCAAATCAAAATCTAATCCTCACACCTCGAATATATGGAAGCAAGACGGCATATCAATCGATGCATATGCAATCAAATAGTTCACACGGCGAGATCTGTTCATAGCTCGTCTTTCGACCGGGGCGCGCTATCGCCCTCATCGCCACCAGGGCAGACGGCTGGAGTTGTGACGAGCATCGAGTAGACACACTTCTCATCCTCGGCCGTCTTGAGGATCTCGTTTTGTTCACCACACTCCAAGACAACCTTGGTCGATCGGTTAGGACCGTTCCAGCAGTGCTGGCCATTTTCGTACTCGAGTGAGATCTTCTCGATGGAAATGACATCTCCCGCCTCGTTCAGCTCCTCGACGCTCGTGTAGCCAATGCGGACGAACTTGCCCATAGACATAGACGAGCCGCCCTTTCTTTGAAGTTGTTTGGTGTCTTCCAAGAAGCAGTGTTCATAAGTGTACTCGCCGGCGTCGAGCTTAATACACTGTCCCTTGAGGGCACGGAAAATTCCAGCGGTACCGTAGTCCTTCTCAAGGTCGGCGTGTTGGTCGCGAAGCTTGTTCTTAAGATCTTTCAAAGTATCCTCCTCGGACTTGAGTGCATTGCGCGCCTCCGTCAGAGCCTTGGATTCTGAGGTCGATCCTTCCTCGGTCTTGGACACGACTCCACTGGATTCGAGGAAGGCTTTGAGAGAAAAGAACTGGTCTTCGAGGAACTTGACAAGGGTAGGCGGAAGCCAGGCTGCAAGCTTGTATACTGTGATATTTTGTTAATAAATTGCCCGTGGGACTATTGGGGGCTCCACTTACGTATGTCAGATTCGTTGCATCCATCCTCCGTGTTCTCCCAGTGCGCCCAGTCAATACCGGAGTTTTCATCATCAGCCTTGGCAATTTCATCGAGATCTCGCTCCTCGGCGGTATCCTCATCGTTACCAAGCTCACGGGCAGCATAGTCCTCCCAACCGCGGACGGCGCGCTTCACACCCTCATCGTTGAAGTTGGGGTTATATTCAACCTTAAATTTAGAGAGAATATCTTCAAGCTCCTTCAGCCGGGAACGAGCCTCGTCTCTCTGTCCACGAACAACAGAAAGCGCATCGCGCAATTCCTCAACGCGACCCTTGGCAACACCAGCAAGGGCATTGACCTTGCCCTTACCCTTTCCAGAACTGCGGACCACCTTGCGCTCCTCATCCTCGACCTTCTTCAGTTCAGCCTCGAGGCCCTCAACCTTGACCTCAGAGCCCTTAATCTCAGCCTCCAGCCGGATAACGTGATCTTCAATCTCCTTGACCTGTCGTCCAGCATCCACCAGAAGGTCCTTCTTCTTCTTCAACGCGGCAGTCCTAGACTTCTGCCGCTGCTCCTCCTCCTTCCGCCACTTCTTACCAATCTCCTTGCAGCGGTCCTCACACTTGGTGCCACCAGGGCGGGCCCATTCATCACTACCATCACAGCACAGCTCGTAGTCGCAGATTCCATCATTGACACGCTGGAATGGCACGAAGGAAGGCTTGTGGCCCTTGTTCTTGCAGTAGAATCCGGGCAATGCGACAGCGAGGTCGACATCACTGTATCCTGGACGCTCAGCCACCGTCAATGGCGAGTTGCGGGAGAGGTGCGAGCAGGCTGATGTGCCGGGCTCATCACTTCCGTCGGGACAATCGCAGAAGTCATCATTCACGGCGGAGAATGGAATCTTAACCGAGGGATTCGAAATGCAGGTGAAGGTCTCTTGATCCTGGTAGAACTTGGCATCTGCAGATCCATAAGAATTAGCATAATCGACGTCAATAGCACGAGATATTTGAGTAGAGGCCACTATTTACTACCCCATTGATGATCCGCCGGGTGTGGACACTTTGGGGGTGGGGATAAACAGATCAGGGTTCGGGTGCTTACACTCCGGGGCAACACCTCGAGGGCGTGAAATTTTGTCGCTGCTCGCCCGGGCAGTAGACCCGGCCACAGCCAGCAGGAAAAGCGACTGAGGGAGTCTCATGATTGAGGCATTGAGCTGGGGAAGGATTGCGGAGAGAGCTTCGGGCCAGCTGGTGATAAGTGCTTACCTAATTGGGAATCCCGCTATCTTTAAAGAGTATCGCCTGCAGTGGCAAAGATGACCAGCGCAACGATCTTGATTCTGCAGTTCACAACATGGGCAACGACGGTGGAAGGTGAGTTTTTGGATACACAAGTATCAGCTCTGCTATTGAGAAACATCTGACATGTTATCTACAGTATTCCCACCCGCCGCGAACTCGTTCGTGAAGCGGCCCGCGCCCCGACGACCGCTCAACTGAAAGAAACCCAGCGCGAACAGCAAGAACATTTCTGGGCAACTTGCCCACTTTCGCATAAGGCGCTTGCGCGACCGATTGTATCGGACAGTGTCGGAAATCTATACAACAAGGACGCAGTGCTGCAATTCCTACTTCCCGGAGACGATGGTGAGGGCATCAGCTCCAAGTCCGACTGCGAGGAGGTCCTGTGCGGCCGAGTAAAGTCTCTCCGCGACGTGGTCGAGCTTCACTTCGAAGTTGACACCGAGCTGAGCGAGCACCCTGCGGACCGCGTCAATGCGCACCGACACCAGCGCCGCGAGGGCTGGATCTGCCCTATTACCGCAAAGCCAGTTGGACCAGGCATGAAGACTGTCTACCTCGTGCCCTGCGGACATGTCTTTGCCGAGGAAGCTATTCGCCAACTCAAGGGTGAAAAGTGCTTGCAGGTAAGTGTCTTTTGCTATAGCTATTTTGCGAAGAACAACAAAGCTAACAAAAATGTCTCCAGTGCAACGAACCCTACGCCGAAGAAAACATCATCTCAATCCTCCCTACCAAAGAAGAAGACAAGCAACGCATGATTGCCCGTGGCCAGAAACTCGCCGAGCAGGGCCTCACTCACTCTCTGAAGAAGGCTCCTGGCTCAAAAAAGCGCAAGAAGCATGCTACCACCGAAAACACGACGGATGTTCCTAGCGGATCTACAGAAAAGGCCGATACTGCGTCTGCTCCCAAGCCGAAGAACCAGATTAACACGGGAACGCCTACTCCGGCTTCCTCTGGGAATGGAATCAAGAATGCATCCACGGCATCGCTTGCGGCGCGCGTACTAGAAGAAGAGAATGAGAAGAAGAAGCGGCGGAAGATGATGGGTCGCAACGAGAATCTCGACAGCCTATTCACTAAGAAGGACGATGGTAAAAAGAGTGCAGATTTCATGACTAGAGGTTTCTCTATTCCCGCAGCGCGTCGGTAGTTTCTTTTCAGCGTGATTCGCCATGTCGATTGATTTCTATGGAGTTGGTCACGGAGTTTACAGGGGGCCTTTTTGGAGGGGCGTATTTGATGCCAGCTAAGATGGCTACGATCGTGCACGAGCACTGTACATTTCTTTGGGAATGATGGAATTCTTTCAAATAAAGCGAATGCAAATAAATTTCTAGTATACACAAAAGGATAGCCTGATATCAAAACGACAAATGCCTCGAGAATGGCCGAAAGCTTCCTGCCAGCCTCACGGTCCATCATCTTCTTTACAGAGTCGCCATTGGGTGGGAACGCTTGTAAACATAACCACCCTTGGCCAAGTTGTACATTGCCTCCTCGGTCATGATCAATGCCCTTCACTTAAGCCCGGCCCTGGCGCGTCTCCGGCTTCTTATGTTTGATATTCGTCTTGGGGGTAATGAGGCCGCGTTTAATGTACTCGGAGTAAATGACCTTCTTGCGACCAGCGTCCTCGTCGCGGTCGGACTGGCGGATGCGGGTGGCCTGGAAAGCGAGGTTGGGCGGCAGAAGGCCAGCGTCCCAAGCACTGTGTAGCGACTTGGTGACGTTCTTGGGCTTCTCCTTCAATCGGGATGAGAGGGCGACGATCAGTTCGCCGATGGAGTTGGATGAGGTAATAGCCTTGTCCGGGATACGGCGGTTGTGCAGCTGGCTGAGACGCTTGATGTACTGTTACGGTTCAGTTAGCAAGTTTCTCACTCAGGAGGCCCAGGGTGAAGAGGAACATACAGCAAACTTGATCTTGGGGTCGACCAGGGAGAGAAGTCGGTAGGGCTCGGTCTCGACCTGGCGATCGCGCTTGACGAACTCGGTCGATTCGATTTGGGCCGCTTCTTCTCCTCCAATCTGGTTGAACACAAAGACGAGGGCTTCCTTGGTTTGCTGGTCGGGGAACTTGATCTCCCATCCCTGGGTTTCGGAGGGCTGGACGGTACAGCTCTCGATCATCTCGCGGATCTGGGTATTGTGTCGGTTGACCTGGCAGATGCTCTCCAAGGGCTTGCCGAGCAGGTGAAGCAGGCAGATCTCCACGGCGGTTTGGTGCGCAGCAGGGAGGATGGGACGAGTGCGGGTTTGTTCACCGAATCTAGAGGCATCGATTGATTAAAATCCATTCGGTATCTTCGGGGGTTACGGGGACCGTGGTCTCTCCGCGTAAATAAGGTGAAGCGAATCCAGCACATACCGGTGATATTTATCGGCATTGGAACTGCCAGCTTGGGTCCATTCTTGCTCAGGAAGATATCCAACCTTGGCCAATCCCGCCCAGGTCTCCGCCTGGACGTAGTTGTCGCCCTTGGCGAGTTCAGAGGTCTCGCCTCCAGCCAATTCGCCCTCCGCAGCAGTGGACGATTGTGACAGTTGCGAGTCTCCGGTGTACGGGTCGGCCGCGCCAGGTGGCTTTTCAGAGTTCCATAGCTTGCGACGAGTGCGGTCTAAGAAAGACGGGGAGTCGGAGGCATAGCGACGGGTCTGGTGTTGGAACTGGCGTGCCAGTGGTGAGACACGCGGAACGGCTTCTTGTCTGCAGCTCGAGCAGACATACAATGCCTCTCGCAAGGGTAGGCGTGTGACGGGGCGCATGGTCGCGATATGGAACTTGAAGTGATCAGCTTTGATGCGCGGGCAACTTTTGCTCGGCGAAACAAATTGAGATATGGGTCACGTGACGCTAATGCTTGGCATTTTTGATCTATGAACTGGTACCATCACATTAAGTAATATTGCGTTTTATGAGGTCTATGAGGAGTAATTGAATCAAGTTGGACACAAGTGATGTTCAAGTAACTACTTCCGCAGGGGAAATATGCGGTCGCACTAGAATTCAGGGCATTCAGATTGTTCTAGACCTCGGGATCTGGTAGGTACATGATATAACTATATAATAACTTCCAATTTTTACACCTGCTCTAAGTTCCAAGGCTGCTAAAAGATTTTGAGTACTAAAAAATCGAATCAGAGCCGTAATTTTCGATTAAGACACCCGCAAATTACTCTGAATCAACATTAAGTTACGTACTATCTACTACTAGCCAATTCTCTAATTTTTGGGGTTAGCTGATTCGTGGATGGCCATTAGCCAGCTAACCCCGAACTTCAAGATGGATCCGAAGATAGTCGGGGTTACCGAACATATTCCCGATATACTTTTCCACTAAGTAGATTACAAACCTTGGAAGATCAAAAGGCCTATTACTCAGAAACTTAGATATCAAGGTATAAAATAGCAATTAATATCGCCCTATAGCACATTCATTTCCACTCCAACTACCTATCAATATACCGCCTCATCATCGACTCACTATGCCTGCCCAATATGACACGAACACCACGGCCAGCGAACTAGTCAACGACTACAAATCTATCATCCAAGGCAAAACAATCTTAATTACAGGAGCCTCTCCAGGATCCCTGGGTGGATATTACGCTCAAAATATCGCAAATGCCAGCCCCGCTTGCATCATCCTTGCCGGCCGAAACATAACCAAACTCAAGCAATGTACCGAGGAAATCCAAGCCGAAAGCCCAAACGTCAACATCCGCACCCTGAAATTGGACTTGAGCTCTTTGCAGGGTACGCGTGATGCAGCTGCCGAGATAGTAGACAACTGGAATGACATTCCTGTCATCGACGTCCTGGTCAACAATGCCGGGATCATGGCGCCAGACTACGGAGTTTCGGTGGATGGGTTTGAGTCACAATTTGCTACGAACCATCTTGGTCCTTTTATTTTCACGAATTTGATTATGAAGAAGATTCTCAAATCTACGAGTCCGAGGATTGTGATGGTTGCTAGTGATGGGCACCGACTTAGCCCGTTACGTTTTGATGACTACAACTTCGATGTGAGTGAACAGCCTTTGGTTAAAAAATATGCTACGAAACAAGGAATTATGTGCTCAATAATTATAGGAGGGAAAAACCTACGATAAATGGGTTGCCTATGGACAGTCTAAAACAGCCAATATGCTAATGGCGTTGTCGTTGGCAAACAAGTTGAGCATGAAGCATGGCTTGCTTGCGTTTAGCTTACACCCCGGTGTTATTCTCACGAACTTGGGCAGTCATCTTGATTGGGACGATGTGGATGCAAAAGGACTTTGTAGGTTGGCCCTGGAGATGGCATTGTCCTACCTTCGATCTAATTCGCGTATAGGGTCAACTGATCGGCGACTGGGGAACGCCGAGGGATGGAAAACATCCTTTGATTTCAAGGCACCGGAAAGAGGCGTCGCGACACATTTCTATGCTTCTTTCGACCCTCTTATCAAATGTATGTGAACATTTGCAAATTGGCCCCAAAGTGCAAGCTGACATACTATTCATCCAGCGCATAATGGCGCGTATCTCATCGACTCGCACATCGCAGATCCCTTGGTAGACACTCTTAAACCATGGGCAACCAGTGACTTCGAAGCAGAAAGGTTGTGGAGATTGAGTGAGAAGTTGGTGGGTGAGGATTTCCCTTACTAGATATTACACACACAACACGATGATCCATCTGATTAAAGAAAAGAAGAAATATTGAATATACAATCATCTATTGTACGGAAAATGTATATACACTGCATCGCTCATATCATAGTGTAACATGAAAGGAAAAGAGAAACTCCGGAGAACATAAGGCTTTTTTACTCGCGAACAAACATACCAGCCATACCCATACCGGTACCAATGCACATGCTGACAACACCAATGTCCTGACCGCTGCGCTCCAACTCAGGTAGCAGATCAGCCAGCTGGCGAGCACCGGTAGCACCGAGAGGGTGACCGATAGCGATAGCACCACCGTTGGGGTTAACCTTAGCCTCGTCAATGCCAAGCTTGCGGACACTGTACAGAGCCTGGGAGGCGAAAGCCTCGTTGATCTCCCAGACACCGACATCGGGAACAGTCACACCAACGCTCTGGAGCAGCTTGGGAATGGCAACAGCAGGGCCAATACCCATCTCATCAGGAGCGCAGCCAGCAACGGCAGAAGCGACCCAGCGGGCCTTGATGGAACCGGAAAGACCGAGCTCCTCGGCAGTGGAACGGCGCATCAGCAGAGCAGCGGCGGCACCGTCGCTGACCTGGGAGCTGTTACCGGCGGTACTGGCACCGTCGGCGGCGAAAGCAGGCTTGAGAGCAGCCACCTTCTCGAGGGAGAGACCGTGGCGGATACCGTCATCCTGAGCAACGGTGATCTCCTGGGGAGCAGCGTCGGGGTTCTCGGCGGAGTAGGACTTGGTGGTGGTAGGGACGATGCCGGTGAAGCGACCGGCCTTCTGGGCGGCAGAAGCCTTCGCGTGCGAATCGACAGCGAAAGCGTCCTGGTCCGCGCGGGTGATACCGTAGCGCTTGGCGACGTTCTCAGAGGTCAAACCCATGGGCATGATGCAGTCCTGGGCATCCTGGGAGTGAGACTCCTTCAGCTCGGGCCAGAGGACAGTGGGGATGGCGCGGGAGCCGTAGTTGCGAGTCATGGACTCCATACCACCACCGACACCGACATCGACGGCGCCGGCGCGAATGCCGTTAGCAACGGCGGTGATAGCGGCCAGGCCGGAGGAGCATTGGCGGTTGATGGTGTTGAAGGGGACGGTGTTGGGGAATCCGGCGTGGATCTGGGCCATGCGGCCGGCCTTTGCGCCACCGAGCTCTTGCAGGACGGAACCAATGGTGCATTCCTCGATCAGGGCAGGGTCGAGGTTAGGGTTGGCCTTGAGAGTGGCGCGCAGAACGCTGGCAAGCAGCTCTTCGGGGTAGGCATCCTTGAAACCACCCTTCTTGGCGCGAGTGACGGGGGTACGGAGAGAGGAGAGGATGACAATGTCGTTCGGCGACTTCTGGAGCACCTGCTTGAGTCCACGAGGGATTGGGGAGGCCATTGTTGCGGTTTTGTTGGGAGAAATAAGCTGTTAACAATGGGGATCGGCGAAAAGTGTATATGGGCCGAGGGTGCGTATATCCGGGAATTTCGAGACTCCTCTTCGAATGAATCTGGGGTATGCCTGCACACTGTACAATTCGAGCGCGGAGATGGAGGAGGAAGATTGAAGCTCGACAGAAAATCGGCCTTAGCTGTCGCCGGCAACTCTTATAGGAAAATGCCGGGTGAAATTCCGGGGTCGGAAGTAGGAGAGAGAAGCCAGTCCCGTGGCGAGGCCCGGCATTGAAGATCGGCTAAGGGCTCTGCCGCGTGTGGGGTCGGCCCTGGCTACACATTCAACCATAATTATTTAGCACCCTGTAAACCGTCATTCCACTGAGACCTTTAAGGAGGTTTATTTACGGTCAGAGTAACGAGCCCATATAGTTTCCATTCACTTTTTTCTCTTCTAGGTCAAAAGATGACAACTCGTCCCCATACTGGATTATCCGACGGCTCCCCCACCGAGCCGACTCGGTCGATTAGTCATCATCGGATCGGAAGAGATACCATGGGCGGACCATCCATATACATCCATGGATACTGCCGACAGAATTTGATAAATTCTGCTTGATTATAATATCTGGATTCATGGAGGATTTCTCTTCTCTACGGCGTGATGTGAACTAGTAAGTTCTCTTGAAACATTTCCTCACAGAGCAGACATCGAACCCTGTCCTCAATCCAGATATTGTATTCTTTCATGTGGTGCAAGGGCCCTTTGATCTTTGCCTAAAATACTATTATATCACGCCCGACAACTTCAGCCGTTTAATGCATACGATTTATCACTCATTGTAATTGTCGAAATATCGTTCGGACTGTACCTGATTCTCACTCGTGGCTTCCAGTATCGGAGGAACTCTTTTGACGATCAGCCTTTCTTCGGTTTCTCGTGAGACCCGATAGACCAATAGAAGCGAACATTCGTTACCTTTAATCATCTCCAGGTTTCATTTTTAGATGATGCCAGAGGTCATGCAAGCAAGATGAGCCGAGCCATGATATCCAGCCAAGCGGGATAGAGTAAGGCCCATGCCACGTCAACACATCTAGGAAGCTCTCAGATGAGTAAAGGTTGGATTTGTTCCTAAATAAATGACAGAACAGTATCACTAGGGAGTAAACGCGCGGGGTGTTGGTGGATGTGAAAATGTTCGATATCAAGCTCCAGTTACTCGTGTTGGAGTCAGTAACATGGACGCCGTGTTTATGGATATGTGTACTCACGTCTCATTCTCGAGTACTCAGAACATTCAATACAAGCTCGTAGCAGTATACTCATAAATATCAAATAAAAACACGCTTCATATATTCACTCTTGCTGCTATTTTTGGCTTAGCGCCTAAGATGTGAATGTGCTGTTTCGGGAGGCTGAGATGGCGGGGTAACTGGCAACCTCCAAAGCAAGGCCTCGAAACCTCTCCACAATTCATCAACCATTCATCTTCTTATGATATTGCAACTCAAATTCCCTTGACACCTGCTGACGGTTGTTGTTTCTCCATACCTACCTCATACATAACCCGGGACGGGGCGGCACCATGGATCCCCTCACGGCCATCGGCCTTGCTGGCAACATTCTTGCATTTATTGATTTTTCCTACAAAGTCATTTCTGGCGTCAACAAAGTTCTTTCCAGCCCAAGTGGAATGACCTCAGAGAACGAAAGCTTAAGCATTCTAGTTGTCGACTTGAATCTTGTCACACAGAAACTGTCCACGGACATCATAGCTCAGACTGAGAACGAAAAGCAATTGTGCGCCTTGGCGGGAAACTGCCATAAGTTGTCAGAAGAGCTCAACCAAATACTGGGATATTTGAAACTCGGGGACAAGCACTCAAAATGGGACGGCCTGAGAGTGAAGTGGCGTAGTATGCGGAAGGAGAAGGAAATCGATGCAATCGAGAGGCGACTGAATGGTTACCAGTCACAGATCTTGATTAGATTGCAAGTCATGTTCAGGTTCGTAATGGGGGAAACTCAGGAGCTTCAAGATATACTAAGAAGAGCTCAGTCAACATTCAGATGCGCAGAACAGTTTCATCAATGACCAATTGGAGGCGCTCCGCAGCGAGGGTGAAGCACTTCAGAGCCAGACAACCTCACAGTTGGACGATTTGCACCAGACTATTTTGGCACTAATCCAGTCTCTCCAAATTAATCCTGCAGCTAATATGATACATGGACCGACGGAGACGTCTTTGGCTCAGCTGGGGGGGTTCGTTGTTAGATTTCCACACCGTGGCAACTTCGTTCTTGCGGGAAAATAGAGTATTGGAACGCCTCGTCTTCGACTCCATGTATGAACGCGAGAACTATATTGAAAACTCCGAGAGTGGAACTTTTGCATGGATGATTGACGAAGAGTTTGAATCGATAGATGATCAGGGAGTTGCCCCTATTCAACCGCAGGATAAAATAGACGACTCGGAGATGGTTTCTCAGAGATCTCATCATAAGAGGGTAAGAACAAAGCAGAAAATCTTGCGAAAGAGTACGCGAGAGAACTTTCTTGCTTGGCTCAATTCTGGCTGTGGCGTCTTTCACATATCCGGCAAGGCAGGATCGGGGAAATCCACATTGATGAAATTTCTTGCTGGGTCTTCCCAGGTTAAGGATCAGTTGGAGGTTTGGTCTGTTGATCACACCTTGATTTTTGTTCGATTTTTCTTCTGGAATTCAGGAGACAAGAAACAAATGTCCCTCGAAGGTCTATATCGAAGTCTATTGTTCGAAATCTGCAGACAATTGCCTAGTCTCATCCCACGGCTGTTTCCAGATACCTGGCGAAGCTCAAGCCTAGCGACTGCTCCAATTCGGTTCGAAGAAGTCAAAGAAGCGTTTGGCCGCCTAATCGAGGAAGCAAGCTCCTCTGAGAGTTATTTTTGCTTCTTCATTGATGGGCTGGACGAGTTCGAAGGTGACGAAGTTGACCACTGGCATTTATGTCGAAGCCTTAAGTCTTGGACATCCCAGACGGAGAACATCAAGCTTTGTGTCAGCAGTCGACCTCATGTTGCTTTCATGGAATCGTTCAAAAACAACTGCAATCATCAAATAAGCATCCACGAGCTGACTTGGGGGGGATATCTCAAATTTCAGTTTGGCCATGTTTGAAAATGATCCCAACTTCGATCGAGTAAAGAATACATATAGAGATCTGGTAATCAAAGTTGTTGACGCTGCCGACGGGGTGTTTCTGTGGGCGAGGCTGGCCGTGCGCTCCCTCTTGAAAAGTATTGGATATCGTGCCACTGAGAAAGACTTGAAAAAGCAGATTGATTTGTTGCCAAAGGGTTTGGATGAGCTCTTCAATCAAATACTCGAATCTATTGATCCAAATGATTGCCAAATGTCAGATCAATTATTCCTCTTGGTGATTCCCGATTTCTATCACTGGCGGCCACCTGTCCGAATTGCGATAGCATATTCATGGCTCGAGGAGCTCGGAAACTCGGAATTCCCCTACAACCTACCATTGAGAGCATGCACAGAGGCGGAGTTTAATGAGCGACTTGAGCGTGTCTCGTGCTTGTTGGACCGGCTTTCCCAGGGCCTGTTAGAGATGAAGCGTGTTCGCAGTTATGGAGCAGATGGAAACGATTACTTTAGCTACGAGGTGGGATTTCTTCACCGCAGTGTACGCGAGTATATTTCGATTACCAGAGAAGCTCAAATGTGTCATCGTGTACCAGAATTTGATGCCTATTCTGGAATATTCCGTTTACTACTTGCATCATTCAAATTTGCGCCGCCTGCACTTCATAATGCCACGCAAAGAGAACGGAGGAAATTCGAAGAGGACTGCACTAGTACGGTATATTCATGGCTAGACTGTTCTTTCTCTTTTTCGGAAGGTGGAGCGTTCAGAATTATGCTTGATACTCTTCTTGGTATGCTAAGTTCGGCCAACTGCATTGGGAAATATGATATACCCTCACACTTTCTGGCGGAGGTATACCATGCTGTCGAAAAGCATTCTGAAATACGGATGAAAACACAGGATATTTCGGGAAGGACGCCACGGGTATTCGAAGGCCATATCTGGGGAGCCAACCGACAATGTGTCGGTCCTTTTGGCCGCGGTGAAAAGCGATCAAATCATCCTCCCGACTTCTTATGTGCATTGATATGCCATGATATAAGTTTAAAATCCCTCCCAGAGGATCTTTTAAGACGCCTGAAGCAGCAGAACGCAACCTCCGGCCCGAATCTGCTACTTATCGCTGCTCTTTTCTCAAGACCAGAACTTGTGCAGCAGCTTCTTCACGAGGGAAGGAATCCTGAAGAATTGGTTTCCATACAGGAGGAGCTGCATGTAATTGACTTGGACGCCGAGATTCTTTTTCAAGCAACGTCAATGCCAGCTCATGAAATTACACCATCCGTGTGGTTGGTATTCCTGTATAGTAGCGTCGAGGATATTCTCTGGCTGCGCTGCGTTCCGGACCCGGAGGCCAAGGGTCGATGCTTTGAGGAACTTTTACAACACAACGTCTCTCGCGATGTCCTTTTTCTCGTCAGGCTATATCTGCCACACGACGAGATATTCAAGCATGCGGATGAGCATAGTGATCCGTGTGAAGATAGGACAGAATCAGAGGAGTTCTTCGTATTTGATCTTCTAGAATATCTAGAGGTGATGAATCCAGCCAACTTGAACGTCCTTCGAACAAGATTCTTTTCCGAAACATCCCAAAAACATCAACGTGCAGTGACGCTTCATCTCCGACCTCCCGTCATTCATCGGCGTGGTTCACTTTCCGAAATCCTCACGATACTGGACCCGCATCAGATTGCGAACACGCGATATCGTGGAAAAGAGGTGGCCTTCTGTCTTGAGAGTGTTATTACTCCCTCTGAAAGATTGGGCTGGCCATTCGCCTATCGGCTCAGTTAAAACACGGCTATGGCCCTCGACAGCCGAAGAAGTCAATCGATCGTTGAAATTCCCGCGGGTATTTGCCTTGAGGAATTGATGATCTCCACCATACCTATAGGCCTACCAAAATGAAAACAGGTTCCCAACAAGCAGTATTCTAAATGCTGCAAGAATATGGTCTATTCTTGCGTTCATGCCTGTCACTTTCCATATTGAAACACGGAATCTCATCATCAAAAGTAGATAGAGTGATCCCCATGAACATTCTTCGTCTGGAAAACGATCAATCGAGGAGTCTATACGCAAGTGTATACAGGCTGGTGCGGCGTTCGGCGTAGTGCGGCGTTCGGCAGTTACCGAGTAGCGGATACTCGCTGAGTGGCGCGGTCTAGATGGCTGAGAAAGGCGAACTCGAAATTTGGCAGCCTGAGTAACCGTCGGCTTCTTCCTTGTCTGTCGCCATCGATTTCCAAGAAACCGACAGCAAGGGTTAAAAAAGGTAAATGCTCAGCCGCATACGGATCCGTGTTCCCCACAGCTGATTGATAACCTTACTTTAGTGAAGAAGCTTCCTAGTTGACATATAGACCACAACATACTAGTAATTCGATTCCGCCTTCCTGAATTAACTCTGTATACCAAATTATCAATTTTGAATTAGCAAATTGTAGTTAACCTGTGAATTCAACTTCGTTCATTTTTCTCCCCAAATTGAGACTGCTGCCTCTGAAAATCTTGGCGGTCGGCTATCGTGGAGGCGCAGCGGAAAGATGCTTGGCAACTCTTGGCCTTCTCTTTCCGTTCTAGTGCTCACCCCTCGCCGCTTTTACTCTCTGGGCAGATTTGAGCACGATCCTAAGCGACCTGAGCGACCAGTGATTATTATGTTATAAGAGTGTTTGCTCACTAAGCCTAGTGGGAGTAGCCTTCGTCATGAGCACGATGCTCTAATCACTCGAGATCCAGCATACACAGCAAATCGATTCGTAGAGCAGGTCAAAAATTCCGATCTAGGTGGACAGGTCTATACGAAGAACGAACCTCAATCCAAGGTTGGTTGGAAATCAAGCTCTTGAGTTCCGAGTCGACCGAGGTATAGTTTGGTAGTAGCGTTAGGTACCAGTAGTATTTTTCCCTCCGAATTAGCAACTTGAACTCAATCAATACTTCGAGTTCTGAACTACAACATGTTACTGTTATCTTGATGAACATACCTAGGTAAGCATCATGATCATGATATGAGTTCACCCTCGGAGTGAATATGATTCCAATAGACGAGACCTAAAATTTCAATTGGGGATCTTGGGCAGCTGACGTTGGAACAACTGGAGAATCACGAAAGCGGCATTGTAAATACTAATTCTAGTCTTTTAGCTCAGCTTTAGAGTGTTGGTCAGCAATCTTTAAATCGCGTCGAAGACCTCAGGACCAAGAAAAGATGAGAGAGATGAATGAAGTTATCACTGTAGAGAAGAAGAAAGCAGAGGTCTATCAGGGGAGGAAGTTGAGACTTGAAAACATTTCCTCAAAGTATCAAACTATTCATGTCAATAGATCTAATGAAGGCTGAAACCCATAGCTTCCAACCTTTGCGGGATAATCCAACGGCGGCAAGCGAGAAGTTTGCTGAGAACAACGATTCATTGCCCGCAAAAAAATATATTGAGACATTATCCGGTAGTACTCATTTCGAATTCTCGAGAAGCAGAGGAAGAAAAGGAGATGCGTTGTGAACTCTTACAATCAAAAGATGAGGCTTTTGGGATATGGAATGAATATGACCTTCGACGAATGTTACTGTTTTGGAGACGCATATACATATTTCCTTCTGAAGGAAAACAGTGGGACATGATTTTTCGATATTACAAAATAGGTAGCTTTGGATCGGATCTTGAGAGCAAGCCCCGAAACCCTTACCACGAAGCACCGAGAAGGTTTTCCTATGCAAATGGAATTGCCAGAAGCCATCTACGCAAACCTTAGAACGCCACGAATGAGCCCTCCACCTACATAGAAGCAATCTCGAAAACAGGAATCATAGGCTACTACTACCACTCTTACTAATAACTTGCTTTAGTAGCAAGTCGGCCACCCAAGCGGGTCGCCCAGCACGATACACCATAGTTAAGGCAATAAATCATAGCTCAATATTCCAACAACCCTTACTAGTTCACAAAATTCTTTGAAGGAGCTGCCTTACCTAAGTATTTAGTAGGTAACTTTTCTTGCATCTTTGAATATTTTGTTTCTCTACTCCAGCCCGAGTGCTCCAAGTTGGAATTTTGATAGTGAGGTAGTATTACTTATATTTGTGGAAATATGGTAAAAATACCTTCAAGTTCAACTTGAAGTTCTAATTGATTGCAAGTTGTCACTAATCCCAAATTCGAATAAAAAGAATTTCTTGTTGTTGAGACATCATTTTAAATTTAGTATGGTACCCCCCTATTTTTGGCGATGACTGACTCGCTTACCCAAGTGGATGGCCGACTCGCTAGAAAAACACATTACCACCTAGTACTGTGTGTACCAGAACCGAGAAAGAGAATCGGCTAGGGCAGATCTGCCTTGGTATTTCACGGTGGTATGGCTTAGCCAGAAGGCTCGGAATGGAGCGGAACACTGTCTCGTAAGCGGTTAAAATAATTTCATTGCCAGAGAGCTGGGGGGTGCGAGACCAATAGGAAACGCACGGACCTGCGGCCGTGGTAGAAAGGTGTTGTTTAACTAAGACTTAGCGTTAGTCTACTCTTTTCTATCTGCACACCGTATGTACCCGTGGACATCCCAGGATAACCCCATTAATCATATACTGTGGATTGAAATAAATCGGCAGCCACCACAACCCATCGTAAACGATCCGCGCCGCTATGCTATCCGTAGCCACCTCCCCAAGATCATCAAGTACTACGTATGCTCGGAGTCTCCATGACAGCGGCCCGGTCCACAGCTTAATGCGGCTCGTGGGGCGACGAACCTAGTTTTTATCTCCGATGTAACCAACAATGAGGGGCCAAAATTAGCATGAATTGCTGGCCAATGAATGATGTTAGATTATGACGGGCGAGGCATCGGGCTGCCTGCTTACGAAAGTAAGAATATGACAAGTCATTGTCTCGGAAAGTTTTGTTGTCGCCAAGTATGGAGCACACTAGCGACCGAGATTTCTTCAAGCATGTGATGGAGTAGTATTTGGGAAAAGCTAGTAAACTCGACTTCTAAGGGGTTTTTGCTTTGTTTTGCTTTTGCTTTTGTGTTTTTTTTTTTAAACAAAAACTACCAATCAATTCGTATGTCAAGATTCTGCTATTCATCAATCTGTAGACGATTATGTGGCCTGAAGCCCCGGCTTTGACACTTAGCGAGCTAGATCAGACATTCATTCTAAATACTGCAATTTTCACCAGCCGGGTTGCACATTGTTAAATAATAGCTGTACACCTTGAATTCCATCTCGGCGCTTCAAGATAACAGTAGGATCCTGGCGCAGAGCCGGCAACCCTAACATAGTATCTTTTCGTGCGGGTACTACTCCCCGTCCAAGAGCTCCCCCAGGGGTGGGCGTAAATTCAAACACCAGCAGAGATTTAGCCAAAAGACCAATGGTCAAGTTGAGAGCAATGTATCGCCCGGGACACTGATGCATACCGGGCAGGCCAAAGACGTTGAGATGCTTGACCAGCTCTTGGTTGATCTCCCCGTCCTTCTGGAGAAATCGGCTGGGTCGGAATAATTCCACGTCGTCACCCCAAATATCCCTATCAAAGTTATGCAGATGAATCGGAGCCATGATAATTGATCCCTTCTCGAGTTGATATTTATTGTCAAAAACAGTGTTCTCATGCACCCCGCGCGCGACCGGGGCATCTCCGTACGTGCGCAGAAGCTCGTACCAGGTTGCCACTAGAAGTGGACAGGAGTGCCGGAGATGGTCAACGTCGATGGTCATGTTTGAGAACGAATCATCGACAACGGTTTTAATCTCAGTGAGAAGGGACATCAGAAGCTCTGGATTAGCCAGGACTTCACACATTGCCCATATTATGATGTTAATCACATTTGACATCAGCCCGACGATGGCTGTCAGATGACAATCAGTAAACCCTTCGCGGGGAAGCTCAAGGGACTCATAGAGAGAAGCAAGTTGAGCGAAGAGTGTTACTCCCTGCTTCTCTTGATTCCCATAACTCTCACTTTCGGTACTTTGGCTAATCTTGTCACGAACAGATTTCCGCGCTGAACGAATCTCAGATGGGACCAGCCATGGTATCGGGTTGCGCAGACTCTCTAGATTTTGAATAAAGATTCTGCATGTAGAAAATATTTAGCCGTTTGAAACCGATTCGAGAATTTCACGAGTGACTTATGCGTACCTGAGATTATCACGGAATTCTTTCTCTTTGAACGGCCCTTCTTCGCCCCAAAATACATCGCCCATCGAGTGAGAAAGGAAATCAAAGGTCCAGGATCCAAGGCCAACTTCTGTTGTTGAACCAGGTTTCGGAGCCGTCTCATCCCAATATCCATCAATTGTTGCGTCCATTTGTCTTGCATATTTTCGAAGGTTATCCAGTTTTCTGAGCTCACCGTTGAACAACTTCGACAATCCTCGCTTGAAGTCACCAGTATCGGGATCAGTGAGGCATTTTTCACTTGCAGATACAAGACCCATTGAGGGCCCAACAGCGACACGGAAAACAGTCATCAAACTCAGATGCCGCATATTCGTGAATTGCTTCATGCTAGCCGAATCTAGCGGGTGAACCAAATGCATGTCCAGTCCGGGGAGTTTGAGAGTCTTGACTGGCGAGTTTTGGGTCGAACTGTGAATCTTTCTCGTGAATAGCGGACACAATAAATGGATAGAAAGGGGTCTGTAGATACCATAATGACGAAAGGTAGGGATTTGAACCTTTGGTTGCAATTCCATAAATATGACTTGCGAAGGGGATCCAGGAGGGGAAGATAGGAGGGGGTGAGCAAGCAGCCTCTTTCGTCTTTGATGATAGCTTGTGACT